TGATTGTTTTAAAAAACAATGTGCGAAAAAATTGGCAATAGGCTAGGATCAGAGCCTAAAATCAGCCCTAAATTATGGCATGATTAGTTTTGTGATTGAACTTTGTTTGGTTTGCTATTGGTTTGTCATGTTCACATGTTAGCTTAACGGTTAAGCTAGCGAAATCCATGATTTTTTTTTAAATCAGTGTGTGAAAAAATTGGCAATAGGCTAGGATCAGAGCCTCAAATTAGTCTGAAATTATGGCACAATCAGGTTTGTGATTGAAGTTTTTTTTTGGTTTGCTACTGGTTTGTCATGTTCATGTTGGATTTGGGAAATTTTTTGCAGAAAATGATTTTCAAAAAAATTGATAATTGGTTCAACGAAGAGACTAAAATTAGCCTTAAATTATGGTGTACTCAATATTTTTATATTCCTTCTATTTGAGATTTGGTTCTGCTAGCTTAACGGTTAAGCTAGCAAAACCCATGATTTTTTTAAAAAAACAATGTGCGAAAAAATTGGCAATAGGCTAGGATTAGAGCCTAAAATTAGCCTTAAATTATGGTATAATTAGTTTTGTGATTGAACTTTTATTCACGAAGTGGTTCTGCTAGCTTAACGTTAAGCTAGCAGAACCCACGTTTTTTTACATAAATCGAAGAGCAATAAATTCGGCAATAGGGTAATAAATTAGCCTTAAATCAGCCTAAAATTATGGCCGAAGAAAAAATTGAAAAATTCAAAGTGGTTCTGCTAGCTTATTGGAGGTAAAAATGAAGCGCCATATATATATATATATATATATATATTGGCAAAAGGCACTTAGTTCATTTGGAACTATTTAGAAAAGTAATATCATATTATATTAATACGTCATGGTTGGAAAGGAATAAATGTTTTTAATGTTCTTGATATTTTAGTAATAAACCCTTGAATAAACCTTAATAACTAGAAAGTAAAAACTCCTATTGTAAAAATATAGTGCCTCATATTCAACACATCAAAAATATAATTTCTTAAGTCTCAATTGAAGCTATGTACATGTAATATAAGATGTTATAGTTGAAAGCGAAATAATAGTTTTTAATGTTCCTGAAATTTTAGCAATAAACTCTAGTTACTAACAAGTAAATTCAACTTCTATGGTAAAATTATAGTGTGTCATTTTCAACTGAGCTCATTGGAAATATGTTTTTTCAAGTTTTATTTTAATTTAAAAATATGGAGACATTGGATTTCAGATAACAAATATACAGGGCGTTAACAAATAAGTGTCACAACGGAAAACTGTATAGATTCCTAATAATAAAGGAATCATTTTTGTCCTTCAGAATTTTTCTCCGGGCTTCCGTTTTCGAGATACAGGGCGTCAAAAAATGAAAAATGTTCAGTTTAATTAAACGCACTTTACAACACTATATAACCTCAACAATTTGGAAACCAGCATCGAGACTAGCATACTCAAGAACCTGACATTTGATTGAACATATTATTAGACAGTTCTGAGGTGTTTATTTCCATTGGATTTTCAGACGATTTTCGGAGATACCATCAGGATTTTGTATGTTCTTCTTCATAAAGAGTCATTTTTTGCGGAAACTATTCACTTTAGAGCATTGAGACAAGAGAACATTTTTTGTGGGAAAGATATTGGCGCTTCAGAATCTACTTTGAAAATCACAATTTCTCCAGTGGCATGAATGTTTGGGGGGTTAAACCCTTACGAGGCGATGAATTCTCCTCCACTGACATGTCCAAGGAAATTGATCAAGAGCCCTAAAAGTAGTCATTATTGGTGATGAATAGTGTACGAAGGCTTAACTCCGTAGCTCCGACGGTTCATGAGATAGTAGCGAAAACAGATATTTTTTGTATTTTTTGACGCCCTGTATTTTGATAACGGAAGCACGGAAAATTTTGATAGGGAAAAAATGTTTCTTTTTTCATGAGCAATCTACAGTTTTCCGTTGTGACACTTATTTGTTAACACCCTGTATACCTAAGTGTCAAATTATATTTGACATCTACGCAGAATTTGTGGTGGGGTTCATCATCATAAAAAGCAACTCCAATTTATGAAATTTTCTTATTGAATCTCCCATGCAGCCAAATTAATTTCCGATAATTCTGCTGCTAGGGAGATTATAAGTGAAAATTTCAAATCATAAAGGTTTGGTCAACAATGATTTTTGAGAAACAGAATGAGTAAACTACCCCTTTATTGAATTGGTGGCAACTATATGGGTATTTCCGAAATTGGGACGATACATGGGGTGGGTAATAGAAAATGAAAAAAAACAAAACTGAATGAAATAATACATTCTTGTTGAAAAGAAAATATACCTGAAACTTCTGTGAATCATTGATTGCATTTCCTTCCGGCGAGGTCAGCAATTATTTCTGCAATGTTGCCGGACGTTCAATAATAGGTGAAAAATGTGGTTTAGTGAGAGCGCAAATTTTTTTTCAGAACAATTGAAAAATAATTATTTGTTGTACAAGAGAAAAAGTTGTAGATTTTAGCTCGAGGTAGTGTTGTCTCCCGACGCGTAGCAGAGAGACAAAAAAACTGTGAGCTAAAATTAATTATTTTTCCTGTGTATAATACACTATTTTTTCTGTGACAGGAAAAATGAGGAATGGATATTGATAAGATATCATTTTTTATTAAAATAAGAAGATTATCGCCATGGAATTTGAAGTTTTCAACAGGAATGACACCTGCGTTGCAGGTATCTTTATTATTATTATTATTATTATTATCATTCTTTGAAGTAATCAAATATATGTCTGTTATTTGATTTTTTGAAAATGCCAATTCAATGGTTCTTTAGTAATATACAGTGAAATCAAATGGAAGATAGAAGGACTTGAAGTACCTGCTGGGAGACGGTGTTATTGGCTTATTTTTCGGAACTATAGCACAACAAAAGCCATCAACAGTGTATATATATGATACATAGGTATATCCGGGAAAAAAGTACTCATTTCTTTTCCGTGGGAAAGAAAAAACATTTTGTTTATGATTTATTGTGTTGAATTTCGGTCCATGTGAGATAATTTCAATATGTAGCATATTGGAAAAATTTCAATCATAGAACAGCAAGAACAAACTATCTCTTCAAAGAGGTGGATTGAAATTATTTCACTGCTAAATCTAATCACTAAGCAAAAATTGAAATCACACATTCTGCCAGCAAAGATTTTTGAAATACAGGAGTAAGCTACCCTTCTAAAGGGAGAATTGAATGTATTCTAGTGGTGGCAGCTACATATCTATTCAAATAATTGGATTATCAAATATCTGAAATGTCCATCCAGTCAGCAAACTTTAATTTTGGTCAGCAAAATACATTTTCCCGTTTTATAAGGTTGCAGTTAACTGTGACCTTGACTCGACATCTACTTCAATGTACAGATGTGTATTATAGGTGGATGTGAACCCAAAATTGTTCAGTATCTATTCAAATAATTGCATTATCAATTTATCAAATATCTGAAATGTCCATCCAGTCAGGAAACTTCAATTTTGGTCAGCAAAATACATTTTCCCGTTTTATAAGGTTGCAGTTAACTGTGACCTTGACTCGACTTCTACTTCAATGTACAGATGTGTATTATAGGTGGACGTGAACCCAAAATTGTTTACTAACTTATTAGGTGAAGGGTCAGATAACTTGAAGATTTTATAATTGAAGCATCATCTTTATGTATCCAATTTTGATGAAATGTTTAAGAACATTCAAGATATATTCCAGGAAATAATTATAGATGAATCAAATGCTGCTAAGGGTAGGAAGATGATATAGTCCTTAGAGCCATCTGGTGGCAAGTAATATTATCACAGGAAGACAAAAATGCCACAGTACTGCAGACTATCACACACCTGAAATTCTCACAGTGATTTAATGTCCCACCAACGAATAATAAGAAACCCAATCCATTCACAAAATTTCCCTAGAATCTCTGAGATTTTAAGTTTCTCATTATATAGATGATGATGTCAGTGAGACAGAATAAAGAAATTGGATATTAGTAGTTAATTGTATGAGTATTTCACTTGAAGCATCTGTGTTTGCAAAACATGTCCTGTTATTAAGATCTTTTGTGGAAATCTGATTGTTTGTGAAGTTTTTCAACATTTACTATGGACTTCCATGAAGTAATGGCAGTCAATTCAAAAAATTAAAATTGTTTATGGAGGTTTCACCAGGTCAAATTATGTACATATCTCAGTAACTACCTACCCACAGGGCTACTAGAAATTAATACCACTGTAAAATATACCTTTATCATCAAACAAACACTATGAATGATGAATGACTTTACATTCATCATGGAACTCATGATTAATTTTTATTTAGGTAATCAAGTATTTGATATGCAATCATGCTATGAATGTATTCCTAGCAGGTTTCCATATACTAATAAGTAGTTTACTAATTTTGAGTACCTACCTGTCTAGGAAGATACCTATTATGTTTTGAATCAGATGTCAACTTAATGCATATTGCATACCAATTCAGGATTACATATTTTTTGAAATCTACACTCACAGCATTGATCTCTGGATAATTAGATTCGGAATATGGAAGAATACTTTTGGTAGATTATGGGTCGAAGTACATCATCATAGGGTGTAGATACTATACTTCAAAATTTTGATTTTGGACAGCTATTGAAGATGAATGAGGATCTGGAACTATTCAGGAAGGAAAAATATATTTGATCATACAATCTTTATAAGTACGATCAAAAAATGAAAATTTTGCGCAGTCACATCTTTGAGGGTATACATTATTCCTCAATATTTTCACTCAATTTCGATTTGATGGTGAAAATCCAGCATGTGCATTAGAACATATAGCTTTACCGCCTCACTGTGAAATTTACCAAAACCTTAGGGAGACTCACTATAAAATTCAAAGCATTTTATGGAAGGAAATATACGCAATGATATCACGAGAAAACGCACACATTTGATCACTGATTAACTGATATAATACAATTTTTACCTGTTGTCTCTATCATCATAACCGCTACGACCGGCCATGTTTTACATTAAAGAGCTTGCGCACTGCGATTGCGTCTTCCCAAACAAGAAAGGGGAACCAACAGCGATGGTACCATATTTTTCGCACACAAAATTTGGCCTTAAATATATTTCCGAATTAATTAGTTCGAGAAAAACCAAAATATGTATTTCAATAATTAAAAAATGCTTGATTGTCAATAGTGGTGTCAAAAGCGGAATTAAACTTTCCAATTTTGAATTTAGGCATTTTTCGTGTCGAAAAGTTGTGTTGGTAACACTAATAGTGATTTCCATTGGAAGAACAAGAACAGTGCTTTATGATGCATTGCATGGCAATGGCATCACTGGCCAATGACGGCTAAATATCTAGACTGTCTGACGGGTGATACACGCACATGAAGACTGCACGTGCACGCTTACAAAAATCGGCCCACGCTGAAATCACGCAAATAGTACCCTCTCTCTTCTTATCACAGATTCAAATGGAAATGTTCAGTTTCCGTTTCCGAAATGTCATTCGTGTACAAATCACTGAATAGCTTAAAATATGAAGTATCTCACATGCAGTAATGAATTTTTGCCTTCGAAGTGCCCACCTGATGTTAGGTTAGATATTTGATAATATTTTCATTTCATGATATTATATCCTTATAGAGTTCCATTTCTGATTGTTGGATGTTTTGTATCCAAAGAGCGAGAAACCGTAGTGACAAAGCGTAGTCGTATGGTTGACGTGGACCCAGGGACAGGCGGATGTACTTGCTGACGGATCAAAAAGTTCATCACTACTGTCACCACTCTGTTTCATACAGTCACAACAAATCCAAAAACAAAATTAATTTTTCTTCATGTTTTGTATTAGGTGAACTTTTTCCACCAATAATGGTAGGTACATTTAGGTTCCTCAATTAATACTTATAACCAGAATAACTAACATAAGCATCTAACATAGGCATTGTTTCTTCTTACAGATTTTCTTTCGAAACATTTGCTGATGATGAAGGATTAAAATCCTTCGAAACATGTCTTTACTTATGTCCATGACCGTTGGTCATTGTTAAATTTTTTTGTAAGTTATGGGTCACCTACGTTGGTTATCTCTGTTCCGTTCATTTTTTGAGTGAAGTTTCCATATATTTTTCAGTTTTTTTATTCCATGTAACTTTCATGATTTCAATTCTGAATATATTTTGAATTCGAGTTCTAATACCAACTATATTTCAGCGACAGCTAATTAGTTTCCCATTATTGTTACGAATTATAAACTGTTCATACCGAGCTAGTGCTGGGTTACATTCACTATCTATCGACTTACTGAAACGAAAATGTATGAAGGTGAAGTATCTGTCGACTTATTTCCATCCATTCTGTAACTCATAGGAGTGAGGTAAAATTCCAGATCCACTTTGAACGTAACTAATGAAACAACGCACGACGACGAAAATTAAAATGCACTAACAGGAGTGTTGTCCACGCATGGACCGATGCGCGTTCACTTCCACGTAACCGACCCTGGATTGAAACACAACCTCACTTTTCTTATTTTTCACAAAGGAATCAAAAGTTTGAAATAGTTTTTCAAATGATTCTGGCATATGAATCGTGTTCTTTAGGCTATTCACCAATTCAAGCTGGAATTTTGTCATTTCTCATTAGAATTTGTTCTGCCACTTCTGAAATAGAAGGTAATACTGCTAATAGAGTGAAAATGTCTACAACAAGCACACGATCATATTTCGTAGTCAAAATGGTCAGTGGAATAACTGATTGCGCTGAGACTGCACTCAGTTCGCACCGTAAGCAGAGTGGAAAACGCTTTCCGATTTGACACAAATGTCAGAACGCTGCAATATCACGAAAGTTGGCAGAATATTCGTGTTTCGTGCATGTCCTCCGTGTGAGATTTTGTGGATTTTTTAATGATACTGTCTACACGACCGCCGCGGCAGTTGGATGCTGATTCATAAACGACCGCCGCGGCGGTTGGATACTGATACATAAACAACCGCCGCGATGATATTTCTTCCTTCTTCATAGAGAGTACTTCCGAGCAAAGCGATAGCTCAGTTGAAAATTCACCTGACCACCACGCCTGTGGCTCGGGTTCAATCCCTACTAGGCCTTATTTTTTCAAAACTTTTTTTCACAAATAATTTCTCGCAAAATATACTTCTCAGGAGAAAGGTTCATTTAGGTGAGTTAGGTCAGTTTGTTTGAAAAAAGTAGTCTTCTTTTTGATGCAGAAACGATATTTTCCTTCCTCATGTCTCACGGCGGTCTTCTATATAAAAATAGGTAACCGCCGGCGGTTGTTTATGTTTCAGTATCCAACCGCCGCGGCGGTCGTGTAGACAGTGCCTTTTTTAATTTTTGATTTTGGTTTGAAATTGTGTGGTTATGTTAATGTTGGCCTGATGGAGAATTCAAAACCAAAATCAGAAGAAAAATCAGTAAAACATAATGGAAAAGCGGCTAATACTATGTTGGATCACTTTTCCAATATCACGAATTCCCAGGAGAATGTGCGACAAAAGAACAGTATAAGCCTTTTGAAATATTTAAATGATAACTATGAAAACGTGAGGTGTTTCTCATGCCATATATTTAACGCGTTTTCAACACAACTATATTTCAGAGCGATGAATTGAAATATGCCTTGGGACGCATTATTAGAGGTTTGGGTTCGTCAACAACCAGTGCCAGAACAGGATTCTATTCTGTTCTAGTGACAATCCTGAATATGAATGAACACATAATGGTGAATTCAGTTTTTGAACATGTAAAAAAACATTTACATACAGCTGGTAGTAATAATAAGTCAGTGAGTGGGACTTGATTTCTAATGAAACTATTCATGAAATGAGAATATTTTCAGGAAAATGCAGATATTTGTACAGGACAAATTTTAGCCTATGGAGCTCTCATTAAATCTAATCTCTGGTCTAGAAGTTCAGATGATGAACAAAAGCAAATTGTAGAAGGTCTAATGAAACCATCCAAGGAGAGATCTTATCTAGGACTGGTAGCATATCAGTTTTTGGTGCATTTATTTGAAAAGGTCAGTACCTGAGTAGTGAATTCTATTCCTATTACATGCTGATGAGCTTTATTTTCAGATTGATAAAAAAGGTATGAAAAGGATTTTTCCCATTGTGAAAGAGGAAATATCTAAACCATGGCCAGAACAAAACCTCGACACCCTCTACCTTTTATGTTGCATTCAAAATAAATATCCTGAGCTGATAACTAAACAGGGCTTGAGCAACACCCTTGGAACAGAGGAAGTTATTTGTAGTGGAAGTTTGGAAAGATTATGCAATGTTTTGATGGTGAGTGAAGTCTTGGATATTCCTATCATGCTATGCAGCACAACAAATTATTTACTTATTAGAGTGTTCATGGACTGTGCATTGATGCAAGTTTTTCAAAACTATTTTCATTGGAATATCTCTAATTTGCAATAGAAAATAAGCTATGCCACCTATTGGAGTTCTTGAAAGCTGTCAAAATATCTAGTGAAAGGGCCCTGGTAACTGGTGGGGTACCCCAGGGGAGTGTAATTGGTCCAACCCTATTTCTCATATATATTAATGATCTGTGTAGCAATGACTTAAACAGGAAAATAATTCTGTTTGCTGATGATACTGCACTTTTCTACTCAGGAACACAAACAAATTTTCCAGTTAGCTCAAGATGATCTGAACTGCATAAAGTGGATCATAGTAAATACCTGGGTCTAATGGTTGACAAAAATCTAAACTGGACTGAACATATTGACAAAATTCATAAACAATTAACACAAATGATGGGAGCTTTATTCAAGATTAAAAATTTCCTAGACATAAATACTAAAAAGCTTATCTACAATGCATATTTATGTGGTGAAACTAATTTCAATAAAGCACAGACACTCCAAAATAAAGTTTACAAAACCTTGTTCAATTTGCAACTCCTTACCCCTACAGGAAATGTATATGCTATCACAAAATTAGACAAAATTAGGAAAATCTTGAAAACTGAACAGGAAAAGTATATATATAAAATAACAAATTCACTACAAAAAACAAATAGTGATTTTACATACAGATACCAAGTACATGGTCATATCACAAGAGGACAAACAAGGCTAGACCTTCCTTATGCAAGAACAAATGTATTATTGAAAAATCATTTGAACAAGGCTATCCAACAGTACAATTATCTCCCACAGGAGGTGAAAAATTGTTCAAATTATGCAAAATTCAAGACAATGATTAAAGAGCAATAGATAGTTAGGAGTGGTAAAATATAGAAGGACAAAATTAGAAATAAAATGCTAAGAATTATGATGATAGTTTAGTTATAAACCTAAATATACATTACATGCATCTATTATATTATATTATATTATATCACTATTAAGTATTCTTGTAATGAAAAAAAAAAAAAAAATTCCTAATCAAAATCCTGTTACCAGCACATGTGCTGCTTAGGGATCATTCCAAATGTCTATACATATATGTAACCTTTTTCAAATAAATGAATCTTAAAAAAAAAAAGTGAGTGGACAAATGAAACTAAATGCAACTTTATGATCTTAAGTTGAAAGTGCCAAACATCTAGGTGCGATGAGGTTCAACAAAAAAAACAAAATACCAAATTTACAATTCACATGTGTATTCCCTTCTGGCTTACTCAGCTGCTTTTTGGTGACAAGCAAGGCAATTAGATATCAATGGATTACAAAAAGCCCAGAATGAAATAGTTACAACTTCATTTAAATTTCCATATAGGACAACCACAACAATGCTTTACAAAGATCTAAACATTCTGAAAGTCCCTGATATAGTAAAACTGGATAGTGTCAAAATTATTTATAGAATCAACAACAACCTAACTGAAACAAAGTCAACCTAACACAAAATTGTGATATACATTATTACAACACAAGAACAAATCAACACTTCCATATACTACCTAGTGCAACTAATGTTGAAAAAAAAAAGAACTACATTTCAAGCTCTACATTGGTTTAACCAAATTCCTGAACATATAAAAAACAGTTCTCCCATTAACACTCAATAGACACATGAAAAAACTTCTTTTAAAAAATATGTGATGTATAAAAAAGTATCTCTTCCTTCCATATAATGATTGTACATATGTTTATTACTCAATATAGATCTTGTTATCTCTCAGAGTATTATAATAAAAAAGTGGCCTGTTTACTTTAATTTCATTGGTTCACATTTGTTTTTTGTTTTTGCTTGATGGTCAAATCATCAAAACAAACAGCACAGAAGTGTTCAAGTTGTTGCAGTCAGGTGGGGCAACATGTTATTTTCTATTGCTAATATAAATACTTCCTAGGTTACCAAAATAGTTATTTTACTGCTTATTGTCCCAACATTTTCTATTTTGTTTTTTCCTGTATTTCTCATATGCATAGACAAGGTTTCACTACTCTGTATATATTTCAATTTATATAATGTTGCTATGTCAATAATTTTGTTTAATAAAGAACGTCAATCAAAATATAATAAAACTTCAATAATTGAATTCATATATTAATACAAAAGGAAGGAAATACCTTCCAATATTTAACAGAGAATTGGTCCTTCGAGCCGGACTCGACTCAGGATGGAGCAGAAGGGCCAGTTATCCAAGGGTTAGTGTTTGAAGGGCTATTTATTGTTCACCAGATCCTGCTACTGACATGTGAGGTCAGATTTGTTAGAACTGATGAACACTTCTTCTTTTTATGTCATTTGGCATCTTTCTACAGTATCTTCTTCTCCGTCAATGTAAGAATTCATGGGCGGGACAATGATGGAAGTAAGATATGGTGCGCGTATTCGGCCATTTTTACGTATTGAAAACTTGAGAAAAATCACTCCACCGCCTACTATGATTTCTGCGAGACGTTGGTTCTACATTTCTCCGCTAGATGGTGATGCTGCTATTGCTGCTGTGATGAGTGGAAATAAAATGACAAATAGTATTTTGGGTACGAGGAACATATGTAATAGTGGGTTAATTCAACTCTGAATTCGAAAAATCTGCAACAAAACTGACAGATGTCATAATTGTGCAATGTCGCCATCTATTAGAAGATTGACAGAACCATTGCTCTCGCTGTTCTCGCTGTTCTTGAGAGGTGGAGTGAAATTTCTGAAACAAAAGAAAATCAATAATTACACCATATCTTACTTCCATCATTGGCGGGACTATATAAAATCTTCATGGGCTGTAGCCCAAGGGCCTCCATCCTCATTTTATGCTTTATAATTTTCAATATAATATTATACAAGTAACCTGTTGATTCAGTTTGCAAAAATTTTTTTCAGTTGTTTGTATGTCTAGGTCATATTTCATTGTCCACTTTTTTTTCTATACCTTGTATCTAAACTCAACACCTGAAACTTGAAATCAAAATCATAATTTTCGACTGTTAACCAATTTTCAATTTCTTTTCAGTTTCTAAATGTTCCTTCTATTGACTATCAAAAGATCTGATCATTGCATATCTCTCTTCAGCATGAATTTTCTACAAGATGATAATAAGGACTGTGCAGTTTTCTCACAAGTTTCAAATCACACCATCTATTTTCTCGAAACAATTTCAAAATTTGAAGATTTTTAACCACCGTTTTGACCGGAATGACTTAAACACAGCCAATAGAGATTAGAGTATCAAATTATGCAGTCTTATAAAAAAATTCTTATTTCAGTAATGAGAGAAGAAAACATATATTGTGATATGTTTTTCACCTCAGAATATATCAGAACATCTTCCTTCCAAACGGGATGCCTTTAAAATTTTTGAAGAATTGCATAGCTTTGATTATTATCATTATTTTAAAAATCTCATTCTGAAGAGATGCAATAATTATTTCAATAGTCAATGACCAGAAGAAACTGAAAAGAAATTGAAAAGTGGCTGAGGCAGTTGAAAGTTATAATAAATCAAAATTAATCAAAAAATTTTCATTTTACGTTTTGGGTGCAGTTCATATTACCTTATTTATCACAATCGAAAACATTTTTTTGGAAAAATGGTAAGCAGTTGGTTAATTAGGCAGGCCCCCAACATCAATAGCCCAGCGCCCCAAAAACTCACGATCCGCCCCTGTAAGAATTGGTCATAAAATTCCACATTGAGAGTAAAAAAAACATGGGTTAGGGTTAGTCTGCTCAAGTCATTCCAGAGGTTTCTATTCTATTTCTGCATCATGTTTTCCAACTGGTTTTGATAAAATAGGCCACAGCCAGCTAAATTGTAGGTTTTTGGACTTTGCATTGACCTCAGATTTCAGTAATTCCAATTGGGGAGACTGAAAATTTGAGCCTGATTTTCAATTTATGGGCATTATTTGTAGAATGTTGATTGAAAGTTTTTTCCTCTGGTTTTTTTCTACAAGTTATTTATCTATAAGTCATTCATTAACGTGACAACAACGACTACACTTTTTCTAGTTAACTTCATATTTGTTCATCAGTTTAGTCTCAAATGTATTTTTTTAAATATTCTATTGTGTGATAATGATCATCTTTCCATAAAAAAAACTAAAACCTCCAATATAAACCAATCAAAGCAGACATCAACACCTTCTCATGTTTTCTAATGCTGTCTTTTTAGTGGGAATGCATTTTGAATTGATCTATTATTGAAATTTTTCTCTAGAAGAAGTGATATTTTCAATTAACCCATGAAATGAGACAGGCCTTTCCAGTCATTTCTCGAAAAAATATGTCTTGAAATATATGGCTCTGGAATGTCATAATAGTGATTTATGTAACAAGGATCATAAAGCCGATCATTATGGTACAAGTCGTGAATGTTATCGGGCGAGGCGTAGCCGAGTCCGATTACACGACGTGTGCCATAATGATTGTTTATGATTCGTATTACATACAAAATTTTATCAGATAGCATTTATATTAATACGTTAGCGGAAAATAAAAAATTGCATTTTCGACATGTCACAATTGTCACATATAATTTAATATAATTTGAATAATAATGAGTGATTCTGAAACTGGTAGTTTACCTTCTGATTTGGAAGAAATGACGCGAAATATCGTGGACTCCCTTTTGCCGAAAAAATCACGGAGTTTATATGAAATGGTGTTTAATGGGTACGAAGAATGGTGTTCTGCTAAGAATATTACTAATGAAAAAGTATTGTTGGCTTACTTTGCTTATCTAAAGAAAGAAAACCATCTTATTCTCTTTGGTCGTATTATTCGATGATAAGAAGTATTTTATAAACAAGAAAAAACGTCGATATTATCAAGTACCTACAGCTGGTTACATTATTAAAACGTAAATCAGAAGCTTAAAGATCTAAAATTTTTACTAAACAAGATGTTATAGAGTGTTTAACGGAAGCATCAGATGATACATGTTTATTTAATAAAGTTGCTTTGATAATTGAACTAAGTGGAGCATGCAGAAGAGAGGAATTGAAAAATATGCTTGTTGAAAATGTAATAGATGAAGGATCCGTTTTTAGAATTATTTTTCCGAACACAAAAACAAAGGTACTTAATGCGGTGATTTTCTGTAACTTCGGGGAATATCCCAGGATTGAATATGGTAATAAAACTTGTCAGACAATATGTGAAAATAGGACCTTGCAACACAAACCATCTACGTTTTTTTTTCACAACAACCTGTTGGAATACATACATTTGGTAAAAAGGCAAAAGTTATTGCAACTTTTTGAATTTACCTCATCCTGAAGAATATACCGGACATTGTTTTCGGCGATCGTCTGCTTCATTTTTGGCTGATTCTGGAGCTGATCTGTGTACCGTGAAACACCATGGCGGATGGAAAAGCAATACTGTTGCTGAAGGTTACATCGAAAAGTCGAAAGAGCAAAGGAAAACATATCAGAAGCAATTTTTGGTGCCAAAAGCCAAACAGGATAACAATTTTACCAAAAATCATCAACTACTGATGTAAAAACTCTAGAATCCAATGGAATTAATATTGCAAATTGTAGTAAATGCTCTTTTACCATTTATAATAAGTAGTTTTGTACATAGTTATGCATTTTGAATAAACTTGGTTGATCTCACCATTACAGGTTTTTCATATAGAATTTCATTATGCTACTTAGTCCCATAATGAATTCATTATGGGACTAAGTACCATAATGAGTTTCTTTATGTCATTAGAATTGAATGACATAACGTTGTCATTATGACATGCCATCAGATGAGATATTTTGTGAGATTTTTGTTCATCTATAATATTGATCATATACCTAAAGAATTATTGAAAACGCCAAAATGAACGAGCGAATTCGAACGATCTGACATGTCCGCTAAACGTGTGATGACAGTGCGCGAACAATTTGGATTGGTAATTCCCTGGCCTTCTCACGGATGCCAATAAAATGCACGCGATGAGTTTGACAATGTTGCCAATTTGGACAGAAAGCTATGATTAGTCGGATATGCATTCCTCGATTTTTTCATTTTAGCAAATAATACAGATGCTGTAGGATAACTCAAATAATATCTACTGACCTGAAAATTTGTGGTATTGACAATTTGCATTCATAGTTGGTTGATTTCTGTTGGAGGACTATTCAAAATTGTAAATGAAATCTCGTTTTGTATTGAATTACACTGCAGATATTCATTACAATTAGAGGTATTAGTTAGATAAAAGTTGGGACACAGAAATGACAACTGTTAGGGTTTTTGAATGTTTAGATTTATTAAGTTGCACACCTTGCATTGTGACAACAGCATCATAGTCGTTCCGCGGTTCTTCATCCAAAATTGTTTGAATTTGACAATAAATTTTATGAACGTCATATATAGTCGTTCCGCGCTTTTTCATCAATCAAATTCATATATTATGTACTATTTCTATATATGGCCCATCGCCTATACGATATCTCAACAAAAATGGAATCAAAATGAGAGGTACTTTTTGAATCTATACGGACGGAAAGTGAAGGATGGAAACAGCCATATTGGTTTGACAAGTTTCGTATTATTTTTTCCTCGATTTTTTTCCAACGTCGGTGTCAACGCCTATTGGTCGATTTCGTTACAGAAGTTGGTCCCGCTTTGAGGATAGCTATGATTCATATATGAGTAGTAGATATATAATCAAATTGTTCGAATTTGACAATGAATTTTATGTTCGTCAGAATTGGAATATAATTTCATAAACTATTGGGAAAAGAGCATGAATGAAAATGTCCTGCTGTGTAATGAATTGCGGAAATTAGGAAGGAAATTGCGGTTTCATTTCTTCAATTTTCCAAAGGAAATATCAACCATTCTCTTATAGAAGAGATGTATGGAACGGCCTGGATGGAAAATAATTTGAAGAGAAGCAAAATGGGTGAGGTAAGTACATTAAAATCCACTTCTCATGACAGCAGATTGGAATGAAACATCATTTCAGGCCATTTTCAAACAGAAGATTTACAAAACAGACTATTGAAAAAAAATTTCAATATTATCCATCAGATGAAATGGGGTGGGTATTTACACCCTATTTCCATTTTCCATCTACGACAATGATTGATTTGACAGAAAATCTAACCTCTAAAAGCATATCTGACAATCAGGCCCTACTAGGGACATTGACTAGACAAAGAGCAGAATATATATCTCATTCTTTTATTCACTCAAACCATTGTATGATAGAAAATAGAAAAGGATTGAAGTTCAGCTGTGTCCGAACCCTTGTCTAACTAATACCATCCAGTGACTCTAATTACAATCAGTTTCAAAATCCCTCCAGTAAAGTACTTTCAACTCAGGTACTCACCTATTAATGTACCTACCTATACCTATCTACCATAGAGAAATAAACTAATTCTGAATCAGTCAATACTAACTTGCTTACTTGGTTCAATTTCTATTGTTTTTAGTACCCACATCACTGCCTTCTTGTCAATAATATTGTTAGCGCCAGTTGCTTCATCTCTTTCTCTTGTAGACATAGTTGTCGGATTAGCAATTTCATTTTCCGGGAATGAGAGCTTGAGATATAGTAACACTGTTCAATTCGTTGATTTCAACAATTAGCGAAATTTCGACATAACTAAAACCAAACTTAGTATATAAAAAGCGTCTCACTGTTAGATGCCTGCATCACATTTCATCCTAGCTAATCTTGAAGCTAATGGAATATTTGGAGTAGTTCATAGTAAATTGAATGTGATCAGCAGTGAATTATCAATCAACTAATCACTTACTACATAGTAATTTTGAATCATTGCATTCCTGCACCATCTTGCACATAGGATCAATTCGAAGATTTTATAGAGATCTGGCAACAGCGAAGTGATTCCCAGTCGTCAGAACTCCAACCAATCAAATTGCAAGAAGATACTGACATCACAGCTCAGTAGCGTTTGAATTCACAGGTATTGAAACAGCATTCTCAATGATAAATAATTTATTTCTCGTTCGATTTTCTCGATGAATATGTGGTCAGGATAAAATTTTTAACTTTTCTTCATAACATTATAGCGAAAAAGGGTCATATTTTACGATACTGGAAAGGCCCGTTGAAGTATAATAAATTCACATCAAATAATAGTTATTCATTTATTTCAGACATTTCCAAGAATAACTTCACTGCAACACTCTACATATGAAATAATCATCAATGAAGTGAGTGAATCATCCCTATTGCCAGATTTTGTTCGTCAACTCGACTCAAAACTAGACATCCCCAATCGAAATAAACAATTACTTGTCACCAAATTACTAACACTAATATTAGAAAGAATAAAAGATAGTTCAGTCATCCCAGAGTTACTGACGAGGAATTTCATCCATCAAACACTGAACTATTTCAAGTCTCTGGATAGAAAAAACCAAGACCGCGAATTCCTGCAGATGATAGAACTGTTCTTCAATCAGCTACTCACAGCGTTGAAGCACGAACAGGTCAAATCCACGACGAAGATAGCCGTGCTGAAGAAGTTGCTGTTTTCTCCCGGAACCTTCATCTTCGAAAAAATAACTAGGAGCAAAATAGTCCAACTCATTACCCAAAGTTTGGACGCAGTAGGCGTGAAGGATCTAGCGATCGTCTATAAAAGTGTTGTAGAGGGTGAAGATAGAGTTGACAATAAGTACAGTTTGAACGAGAATTGGCTGAACAATGACAAGTTATATGCAGCCCATTTGTTGATCAAGCTGCTGAATCATGTGGCAGTGAAAGATCAAAATGATTGGAAAGTGCAGCAGCTGATTTTCCTCATGAATTTGGGGTTGCTGAAGAATGATACTGGAAGGCAAGTAGGGATTGAATTGGCAGGTAAATTAATTTTCATTAAGTTGTTAGTTTCACCAAATTCCCGTTAATGATCTAATAAATCGCGTTATATTATACATAGGAAATTGACAATAAAAAAAGACTGGTTATTTCATTTGAACTTGCATTATATCGATCTTTACAAGTAACTAATTTAATGATCTTGTCCATTGTCTTCAAAATCGGCAATTCTTATGTATTCGTTTGAAAAAAGTCGTTCTATTACCAAGCACATAATTTTATATTCAAATCAGTGTTGCCTAATCTGATAGATTTGTTTTATTCTGGAGTTGATTGGGAATCTCTGTGTATTAACGAATAATTTAAATAAGAAGTTAGCAACAAACTGTGGTAATAATAGTATTTTATACATCTATTGTGAGAAATTCTCACCCGAAGTATATATATTTCTTCCACTACTAACACTGAAATCAACAACAATCAACGTCTTCCATTAGTTCAGATTTTTATTTCCATTGAAACAGAAATGCCATTCACAGCATATTATTACTAACATTTTGATATATCAAGTAACCTAGGAGCTAAGTTATTAAACTAACTAAAAGGAAAATTGACTTGGCTGAGAGTAAATGAACTCTGTATTAAAATTCCAGGTGAAATTGTGAATGAAATTTGTGAATTTTGATATGAAGTTGGTAAGGATATTGATAAATATGGCAAATAGATTGAAAATACAGTACCTATTCATTGAAATTATTTGAAATATTCAAACCCTATTAACATCGCAGATGCTGCCGTTGAACGGCCGGCGACCTTTCACTTTTCTATAGATACATCCACGGGAAATTCTCCTCAGAAATCTCTGTTATAATTCCATCACTACAATTAACAGTCAGACGATTTCGACAGGCCCAGTCAGCACATCTCTTCGTCGTTACTAGATCTCGTTCGTCTATAAAACGGCGAAGCTTTGGAATTCTTTGCCAATGGAAGTATTCCCAAGAACTTATAACCTCCAAAGGTTCAAAAAAATTCCAATACCTACCTCCTCTTCCTGTCCTCCCTAGGTACGCGCGATGTTCCACGAACATTATAGGAATTTTTTTCGGGCGCTCCAAGAGATGAAAAAAAGAAAATCCTTCGAAGATATTCTCTTATTATTTCTCTAATTATTCTAATTATTTGTGACAGTTTTAGAATTAATGGCCATTACACAATTCCCAACATTTTTCAACTTCAAAAGTGTATTTCAATTTAAAAGTTTGGGTGAATATGGAATGTTTCATTCTAATTGGTTGCATTGGCATCGGTACTGCATATCATTGACACTATTGACAGTTTTTCATTATTCATCTAGGTTAAATTTCTTTATCATTATTCACCTTGGATAAAAAGTGTTGCTTCTCTTTAAAGGAAATCCTTTATTAATGGTGATTTCTCAGGTTAGTGGTGGAAAAAGTCACATACTATTTTATTTCTGTAAGACAAGTTATATCACTTGCTAACTAATATTGCTACATATATAATTGAAAAGATAAAGAATAATGCATTTTTAACAAACATTTTTTCATTCAATTTGCAGCTTCCCTAAAAATGGCATTTTTTGGTTCATTGGATTTGAAACTTTCGAAACTGGAAGACATGCATAGCATTCTCACACGATTAATTCGTCATTTGGATAGCGAAATAAGTTCCAAAAATCTCGAGGACATTTTGAGAGATCCCATCACTGAAGAAAATTTCGAAATTTGGCAAAAGACTACCCAAATAATCAACAAGCTAACTCAAAAACTCGAAAAGAAACAGAAGAAAACCAGCCTGAAATCAGTTTTCCTCACACTCTTCCTCCATATGGGACTACAAGTGTTCAACGACCCTAAACTGGCATCAGGATCGCTCAGCGAACTTTTCATTTGCTACGAAAAGACAAAGAAAAGCAGAAAAAAATCCGAAGACGACACCAACATCGACAACGTCAACGAGAGCAGTGATCCCATGTGGATTGAGGTAGTTACAGATCTATTCCTGAACTTACTTTCGCACAACTCGCATCTGCTGAGAAGCATCGTCAAGTCCGTTTTTGGCCACCTTTGCCAGTACATGACCCCCACCACCGTACAACAGCTAGTTTCGGTTTTGGATCCCAGAAACGAGAACAACCCTCTGTCGAAGAGCGGCGACCAAAGTAGCGACGACGACGAAGAAGAAGAAGACGACGCCGACAGCTCAGACGCTGAGGAAGAAGACGCGGGAAAAGGCTCTGACGCAGACATGGAGGAAGAAGAGGAAATCGACGAAACTGTCAACGACAAGTTGAGGATGGCGCTGCACCAAGCTCTAGCCACCAACGGTCTGTAATGATGTTATGATTTTATTAGCCCTTTGCTCTATGAATTTTGGGGCATGAAATCCCTGAGAGGTGAATTCTTTCCTTCTATAGACAATTTTTGCTGCTAATGGGGAAGACCACTGAGTGATGACATCCATTCAAACCTCTTTCAATCGATGAATCATGATTAATAAGTTATAGTTGAACGGAATCGAATCTAAAACTTTTTTAAATCAGCATGTTTTATTCCATTGATCAAGAAGTCAGATGGGAAGGTGTAGTGTTGTAGTTTGATTGGTCAACTCAAGGGCAACAGGCATGTTGGGACTAATACGTCACACCAGTCGCACCAATTAGTTGACACCATTTCAAATGGCACAGGAAGTGTGTGTTTTGAAATGAACACATTTTAATTTATTTTTTTATCGTCCTAGTATGAATGTAAACATTCGAAATTATATTTACTGGTAGTTTTTTGTTATAGAGCTCATGAAGATGTTGCTCTAAAAAATCAGTGGTCTCCACAATTATAATGGAATTTTGTTTCATTAAGCACTGTTGAGCGCCAGTCTATTTTTGCAAGCCAAATATGGACAAAAAAATATGATTTACAAATTCAAAACCTCTCTCCCATCTTAGAGGAATAAAACCACTGACTATTTCAAATATGTCAATCTATTGCATAAAAACATAAATTGAAACAATTGGAAAAAAATTACAAGAGCAAGTGATTTACGACATGATTAGTCGGGCCATCGCTGTCAACAGCGGATTTGTATCGGCAGCGGCAAACCGATATCGGCAAAATGTTAGAATGGCATAGGTTTATGTTTATTAATTTTTTTTTCTTTCATCTCGTAATTGACCGTTATAGATAAGTCACAATCGAGCCGCTGTCGATTCGACACTGGAGACAAACTCTATTATATAAATAATCTCATAGTGTATAGTATCACAATAACAATATATCTCCAGAATACTTTTATGCATTTTTTATGGTTGATCCCAGCAAACTATCGTCCGACATCAAGAATGATATATGTTATATACAGTGTCATTCATGAAGTCGGCATCATATGGGAAAAACTTTTATCAATGACTTATTTTGGAATTCGACTTGGACGTTAAGTTTTGCTTCAAAAAAGATGAACAATGGCCTACTCAATCGGGGTCACGTGACTTTCGATACATGTCAAAAGTGACATTTTTTCAAATTAATCGCTGAAAGTAGGCTTATTTGGTCGAATACCGAAAAAGTTTACTCGAAAAAGTTGTTTCCATTTAAATTTGACATTTGTGACTCGGATTTTATCTTTCTATAACATTTTTTAGATTTCGATATTTTTTGAAAATTTTCGAAATTTCTGTAATATTAAAAAAATTGTAAATTCGATAAAACTACTTCATACCAGTAGTTTCATCATGCTACTAACTTTCAATTACTGATTATCACTATAATTATCGATAAAAATATGATTTTCTTCAGAAAATGATAATCTCCGCTTCAAAATTCTGTTATGTGTGATGCAAACATAACATCAAATTTCTGTTATGTTTGAGTCAAGCATTTAGAAACGAAATTCATTTATTTTTTTTTTTTTTTCATTACTGAAAAGATCAGTGTAAAGGAATTTCGTTTCTAAATGCTTGACGATATATCAACTTTGCATCTAACATAACAGAATTTGGAAGCGGGTATTATCATTTTCTGAAGAAAATCATATTTCTGTCCATAATCAGTAATAATAAGTAATTGACAGTAAGTAGCATGAAAAAGCTACTGGTATGAAGTAGTTTCGTGGAATTAACAATTCTTCAAATATTACAGAAATTTCGAAAAATTAGAAAAAAAAATCGAAATCTAAAAGTTGCAATAGAAAGATCAAATTTGAGAAAAATGTGTAAAATTGGAATAGAAACAAATTTTTCAAGTAAACTTTTTCGATATTCGAACAAATAAGCCTACTTTCAGCGATTAATTTGAAAAAATGTCACTTTTGACATGTTTCGAAAGTCACGTGACCCCGATTGAGTAGGCCATTTTTCATCTTTTTTGAAGCAAACCTTAACGTTCACCTCGAATTCCAAAATAAATCATTAATAAAAGTTTTTCCCATATGATGCCGACTTTATGAATGACACTGTATATAACAATAATTATACTTGTTATTGTCTACCAATCCATTTTTGTGGTAATGGTTTTGAGCTGAATATTTGTTCATTACCCTATATTATAACAATGATGCTCCAATGCGAAGTTCAGCTCTTTATCTATATTCGAAAAATATTTGATTCACAGTAATAGATCAAACACTGGAAAAGTAATGTGGCTAGAACATTATCAGACTACACCTATTCTACGTCGTCAAATCAACAAGTTATGATAGGTATATCGTATGATCCAATATCAAATATAATTGAAGCCTTGTACTATTTCAATTCTGTTGAAAGATGGATTCGTAATAGTATCTTTCAAGTGTCGCAGTAGCCTAGGGTTTAAGCCATAAGCGTCTGACAGTTGATTGGATATCCGTTTGATCGCAAGTTCGAGTCCGACTCCCGACTATATGTTTTTTTATTTCTAACCGAATAGTGCCGGCAGATAGTCGGGCGGCCTACTAGCGGCCGGTGCGACACGGGCTAGCCGAGCCGACAATGTTTCATGATTGTGGCCCGCTGGCATATAAGCAAAACGTACATCTATTTGGCAAACGGCCTGTATCTACGCTTTCTGATTGGTTGATGCCAAATAACAGTACACATTGCTATACCGGCGCCAAATAGATGTACAATTTGCTGCAGATCTCGCCGCCAAATAGGCAGTACGAATTGCGTATGATACCTAAAATAGATGTACACTTTGCCATCTGCATAGGGCTCGCGCTTTTGTTTTTGTTTTTGTTCTATTAATCATTCCAGAATTACGTCATTTGACAGGTTGCTGAGGGGCAAACATTGTATTTTGTCAAGATTTGTCATATGAAACCAGAATTAGTGGGATCGTTTTCCTTGGAATCCGAGTTGGAACCAGAAAGAATTTCATAATTTTGTTTGGTGAAACTGTTATTATATTGTGGATGTGGCAGGGACGGCCAGAGCAATGCTCATCAAAGGTAACCTAACAGATAGTTTGTGTGCCCCTCAAGAAACCATGTCAATATCACGTGTTCTAGAATGATCAATGGTCAGTCATTATTATGCAAGCAGCACGTCCGTGCATCCTATCATTGAGTTGAATACCTAGTTGAGTTTGATTTCAATACCTTATTTCAATATGGAATTACCCTAATCTTTCAAATATAAGACGAATGGAGTTACTAACAATGATAATATAACAGTTTATGGAGATTTACACAATCTAGAAGAATGTGATATGTGGATTCGGGAATTTTCTAGGTTAAATCACACGAAATGGATCGTACGTGAAAGTGCTCCCAATTTTAAACTTTTTGTGTGTTCGTAAGTATAGCTAAGTAATAATGTTTCATTAATTATTATGTGCTGTGCTATGCTGAAAGTGGGGTGATATTTATGATAGTTTTGATGTAACAGAGGATTTTTTTTTGTTAGATTTCGTTAGGGGTTTGGAGGAGGTAGGGGTGGGTAGAAGCAATAGGAATTGTTCAGCGCGACCACGCGCGACTTTGTATGTATATAGATATTTCACAAGTGGAAGCTTTCGGGACTGTTTGATTGAACAATAAGTATTCATGGGAATATTCGTCTGAATTTTGGGGTCTAAAATTAAAGCAATTGAGAACCTGTTTTTCGATATAACATTGCCCAATGAGATTTTTGTTCTTGGTCACGTGATGTCAGATTCAAAATTTTTAATGGGACAACCTGGATATTTTGGCATTTCCACATTCCTCCTGATGAAACGATTTCAACAAACTATTACAATAATTGTAGTCTCTATTTATAACGATCAATTTGAGAACTACATCAGGTACGTCAATATCCTTTGTTCCAAAGTTTTTTGACTACGCTCTTCAATAAAATATGAATGATTAATATAATTTCGCATCGTTTTAATCATCACAATGAATATAGGATTGCCCACATAAACATTGACACCCTACACTCAAATAATTTGGCAACTAATCGTTTCAGACGTTTGTAGTAATCGCTGTGGGACAAAAGATATTGAAGTACCTGGTATAGTTCTTGAATTAATCGTTTTAGGCTACAAGTGTGATGGATTGTTGGAATTGTTTTATCGAGAGGAACATAGTAATTCCAAAATAAACAGGTTGTCCCATTAATAATTTTGAATCTGATGCCACGTGACCGAAAACGTAAAGCTCATTGGGTAATATAATATTCAACCCCAAAATTACAATCTTCTACTACTCTTGAATTTCGAGATATTCCCTGTCTTAATTGTCGTGGGACACCCTGTACATTTATGTTTTTAGAACGCACTATCGATGTGTGAATGTGATGAGTATTTCCGATTTTGTATTATCATTATTATAATAAATTTTTGATATCCCATGCAGTTATTGCAGTTTCAATTTAATGCCATAACGTACAAGGTGCTGACGCGACTCCAACAATATTATGTACTGTTATCTGGCATACACATGCATTTTCAATTCACGCGCAAAACGTACATGACTCTGACTCAACAATGGCAGAACGTACTGTTATCTGGCATCAACCAATCAGAAAGCTTAGACACAGGCCGCATGTCAAATAGATGTACGTTGTGCTTATATGCGGCCCGCTGATGTTGACTGTCGGCAGTTTTCGGAGGGCGTCTAAAGGCCCGCGCGATACATGTTTGCTGGGATACCACTTCAGAGGATCTTTTATCAACAGTAGAAACATGAGAGCTTTTTTATCAGAAAAATTTCTCTTGGTAACGTAAATCATTTGCCGATCAGTAAATTCACAAGAAAAACTGACATGAGAAAATTGCGATACCGTAGGTCGAGCAATATTGTCGAATTTCAGTTTTTTGGGAGAAATAACTGATGGAAAATGTTTTGAGTTAGTAAGAAAATTTATCCAATTAAAAAAAATTCGAGTGTTTTTTGGCAAGATAAATCAACGACAATATACAAATAAACAACAATAATGATTACATTTATTGATGATTCTGTGTAACTGGTAGTTTGCGGAATTGATTTTCTCATATTTTCGTGGTTTCTTCAGACGAAATTTTCCTAAAACGACTCATCTTGATAATTTACGCGTGAAACATACCCATCAATCAAACTTGACAGGACATGGGGAGCAAATAGCTACTAGATCAAAGGAGCAGGCAGTTTAACAGCGATAAAAAGGTGCATCCTTTTTTATCGATGTCAAAATGACCCACGTCGTCGTCAAATGGCATTTTCCGTGTAGGAGTTGATTTATCAATATAATATGTTGGAATCACAGTTCTATACTTGCAAAATACCCCATATGTGATGACAGCTCCTACTTTAGTTTGGAGTTTCAGGGACACATGTGTATTCATCTCTGGTATAAGCTTTTCTGGTATTTGGCTTATGCAAAGTTTATAATTATCAGAAGCACAACCAAGCAAGCTACTAATGTAATCAACGCGAAAATTATAAATTCGCCATTCAAAAAAATATTCACATAGCAGCGGCCATTTTTAAGACACCGTGCTAAATTAAAATAGCTGAAATTAAATTTACATAATTTGAGCAATTAAAGTTGAAATTGGGCCTACCTCAATTCACTCTCGATAATCCAAAACGATCCCACAATCTCGAGTTTTCGAATTCTTCTACGGGAGGATTCGATTTATCGAAAATGAAAAATCATTGAGACCTTTCAAGCTCAGAGGTTTGAAATGGAACAGAGCGTTTTTATCGTCCTTCGTCTCCAAATTATTATTTTCCATCACATGGCTACAAAATTTGATACCATTGGCGAACCGTTTTAAGCAAATTACTCATGGAACACTGCAAATTTCCAACACCTCTGTATAGTTTATGAGAATTCATGGAACACATTTTTTTGTGCGATCCAATTTGAGTTCTGAAAAAAAATCTTGAAGATATAAGATATTCTTAACTGAGGGGGGTGTTAACATTAACTTTCCAATTTTCATCTGAATAGCGTTAAATCCAAATAACACTATGGATTTACGAAAATTAATGATTCCAGAAATTTCGCTCTAACATCATAGTTAGCAATGGTACCTGAAATTACGTTTTCAACAAATAGTATATGGATGGAAATTGGATTATTTCTTAAAATTACATACCAAATACCTGATGAAATGAGAATTATTGACGAAACATAAATATTTGAATAGCATAATAATTGACGATTATAAAATTATGGGTTATGGGTACCAATATATAAAATAACTGATGCTGACAGCTCGTTTTTGAGGTTGATAATTCTAATTTGTATTTCTGTTGAAAGGTTGAAGAGATATTTTAATTTCTCCAAAAAATTTATAACTTGAGTCTGGCAACAGTGGTTGTAAACCTGATTTACTAGGATGTATTTTGTTTACATTTCTGTTAGAACATATCGTTAGCTTTCTTCTTTATCATAGATAAATATCCCCAAATTTCACTAGGTGTAGGAGGTATTTGTTGTATTGTAACGTTGGCTACAAATATGTCAAATGTGAATAGGTCAAATTATTGTTCATTATTGAATATTATTTGAAATAAGAGCAAGAACAACTTCTTGGACCTTTCCTTTTTCAAACTGATCGTAATTGACATTAACAAATCACAAAGCATCCGACAAATGATACTCAATTCGACAGTAGCTGCTGTCAACATAACAAGAATGTCTATCTTTTTCCAAGTGAAATATGGCCAATTTCTTGGACCCTTTGTTTTCCAAATTAATTATACCGTATTGACAAAAGACCATGCATTTAACAGATGACTCAATTTGACAGTGATTGCTGTCAACAAGTAGCTTAAAACGTCTTACTTCTTCCAAATGACATATAGTATGTTCAAGTAAATCTTTATTATTAGCTTGGGTAAAATTGTATGGAACCATTTATTCAAGTATGAATATTTTTTCGCGCTAAGAAATCACCTCGCTCCAATTACCGCGCATGCTAATTGGTGTCTACCAGTGCACAGCAGGACAAATTTTCACACATTTGCTACCATCGTTATAACCGCTTACAAGTGTATTGCGATTTGTTAGAAAACCAGCTGCAGCAACATAGTAATTGCAGTATTTTCAAAATTGAAATAATTTCAATAATTTGAATAGCTATTTTAGACATCAGTAACCTAATACTGGGTAGTTGAATAATAATTCTATGATGATTCGTTCGAGGCAAACTCTCTCATTGCTGGTATCGCACAGAAAAATATTCATTTTTATTATCAAAATCATGGTTTTGATCATACGTTGATAAAAACCTATATGATGGAGGGAAGATAATAATAATAATAATAATAATAACTGGTCTTTTTTATTTTCAACAAAATAATTACAATGGTTGAAGTAACAAATTGAATAAAGTGACAATAAGGGGCGAAGTTCAGCTCATTCAGCGAAAACTTCACTAAATGAGTTGTTCTTCCACTTAACCCAATGTCCTTGGCATTGTCCTGGGTCTCTCAGAGGTTTCACCAACGCTACTAAGATTCATTATTTATTGATGATGTTATACATTAAATCGAGTTACGATTTAAATATCGTTACAGGTTATCAAACGGACGAGGAAAGCATCGATATTGACCAGATCAGCGATACCGAAGGAGAGAAATTGGACAGCGCTCTAGCGGACGCCTTCAAGCAATTCAAGCCGAATCGCGGCAGGCGGAAGAAACAGAGCAAAGACCAGGAAACGCTGACACACTTCCGCATAAGAGTCCTGGATCTGATCGAGATCTATCTGAACTCTGAGCCTTCCATGCTGCTTACCTTGGAAATAATGCTGCCGCTGCTGCAAGCTGTCGAGTTCAGCATAAGAGACGAACACCAAGTACCTTTGTTGAACCGACTGAAGAGCACGCTGAGGATATTGACCAACTTGAAGAAGTTCCAGGATACCGAAGGTGTGAATGAAACGGTCTTGCGGGATTTGCTCAACAGTTTGCTAGAAAAGGGCACGAAAAACACTTGGATAGTTCAGGACATGGGGATCCAAATAGCGGATTGTTGCATTTACGTGATCAGGTGCTCGAATTATCTGACAGCTCTGGAAGACACTCCTAAGAAGACCAAGAAGCATTTGAGGAAATTTCTAGCCCAGGAGATTGGTAGAGAGCTGGAAACATATTTCCATCAAGCGAATTGTTTGACTCCTTTTGTTCTCTTCGTGAATGTTATGAAATTGAATTGGGACGGCGTTCTCAAGGTGGTCTCCTTGCTCTTGCAATATGTTTTTGATGAAGAAGTGAAACCGTTCAAGAAAAATCAGGCTTTGGAACTTCTCAAATTGTTTTACAATAATAAAAGATATTTGAACAATGAACCGGCCAAAATCAAAGAGGAACTCACAGCTGACCATGAATGTTTTTCTGAAAATGTTATAAGTTTGTTGAAATCATTATTGAACGAAAATAATGTTAAAGATAGGTTTATATCGAATCTATTTGATCTGTTGAGTGCAATTAAAACTTGTGGTTTGAACATCGACAATATCCAATGGATTGATATTTCTGAACACGTTCGGGAATATAGGAGTACCGTTTCTTTTTCAAAAGATGCTAAAACAGCTTTTAACAAACTTTGTGCCCGCTTAGGCGTGTCTAATATAGTCAAGATGAAGCAAAAGACAAATAAACTTGTTGTTAATGAGAACAGTGGTAGTGAACATGCCCAGATAAACGGGAAAAAGAAAAGTAAAAAAGGAACGAAACATGAAAAATTGAAACTGAAAAAAGAAGCTAAAGCAAAGAGGCTACAGAGTTTGTCACAGGGCCTCGGTCTGGATTTCAGTACAACTAACAATGTAGATATAGAAGAAATGAATAATTATGTCGATCTGGATGCAGCAGATGATGAGGACCACACAGTAGAAAAAAATGTTACAAATAATGAAAGGAAGAAAAAGAAAAAATCCCACTTCAAGAAGACTATAGAAGAGAAGGAAACGAAGGAAGGACATAAAAGAAAAAACGATGAGAATGATTCAAGAAGTTTATTTAAAAAATCTAAGAAAATATAACATAAGAATTAATAAATTTTTCAAGATGATCATTATGGCTTTCAGTTATTTTCCCTCTGAATGAATTTTAACAGTCGAATTCAGGCTATTGAATTCTCGATCGGATCGTTCACGTATTTTGATGAATTGAAAGAAGTTTATTAGGAACTAGCTGTCCGGCTGGGTTTTGCACGGTTGGTGTACCCATTTAAAAATAATAATAATATTTGTTGTAGACGTTCTGAGCTATGCGCGTATCCACAGTACATATTTTGTTATTTTTTATAATTTCTTCTGCCCACCTATAGCTAATATTATATACTCACATCTATTTTCCAATTGGTCAAGCCGTTTAGTAGTTGACGTACAGACAACAGGGCTACCTACCGCGTCCATTTAAAATTATCTAGGAATACATTGAAATACCCCACCATGGAAATACCTCTCTGAAATACCCATATAAAATTTAAACCCAATTGGTTCAGCCGTTTAGAAGTTCATTTACTCAATTATTTATTTATTTAATAAATTTTTTAGTTATTTATTTATTCGTACACCACTCAACAGAAACCATTTACAGAGGGAGAGGGTAATCGGTAATCACAAAAAAATATATTCAGGATGGGTATAAAGAAGGTGGTATAAACTACTGAAATTGACAGCGATATGATGATATTGAAACATGACACAATATAGTTCAGGCAGATATGTTACGTATAGTTTTCACATTCGTATTGAATAAATCAAGCTGGTCACTGAAATTGTTGAATGTATTAGACAATCTATACAGTGTGTCCCAAATTCGATCCTCACCATTGGGATCTCAGTAACTATGAGAGATAGAGAAACGGTTAAATTAGCAAAGTTGTAGCAAATTTAACGTTGAATCATAATCTATCGAGAAATCCGGGCTAGCTTCAGTCATTCTTGAGTTATTTGAGAAAAACTGAAATCTTGTATTTTTGTTTTTCTCGAATATCTCGGAACCTATTGATTTTATGAAAAAATGACTTCAACATTCTCATAGCACTTTTTAGTGCTCTTTTCAATGGTCTTGTCAGTTTTCCGTCAAAATGTCAAATTTCTGAGATATAACCTACAACTTCAATTTTTCTTATGGACGCCATATTGGATTTTTACAGATTTGAAATCAGCATCAAATTTCCTTTCTAGTGATGTATCACACTTACAGTTTTATTCTATTTGGGGTACTGATTTCCAATGTTTGTTTTTATGTCCAGTAGGCTATGCGCTAAGCTCTCTCTAAACATTAACGATAATGTGTTCTGACACAACTTTCATAGAGGCTTGGAGCAAAGGTGAGCCAAGTGACATTTCTGTAAACGTCAAGAAAAAATACAAGTCAATTATTTCGGGGCAAACAATGCCGTTCACAAATCTCGAAAAATTTGATATGTACAATTGTTATATCAGAAATAATCGAAATAACAGAGAAACAGCTAGACAATACTTCCATTTATATCCAGAAAGACAACAACCGCATCCTTCTATTTTTCTAACATTACAAAGAAATTTGCAAGAGCATGGAAGTTTCATTGCACCTAGGCCAAGGTATGGTTTGCGCTTGGATGAACAAGATATTGCAAATATCGAAGGAATCATCAATCAAACTCCTACCATTTCAATTCGAGAGCTTTAGTCGGAGAACTCTTGTACCGAAAACAACAATCCACAGACATTTAGTGAATGATAAGTACCACCCTTTCAAACCAGTGATAGTACAAGGGTTGAGACCTGGTGATAATGAACGTCGTCTCGAGTTTTGTCACTGGTTCCATAACCATTGTGAATGAATCGAGAACTTTCCATTGAATATCTGCTGGACCGATGAAACGAGATTTCATAATAATGGAATTTACAATAAACATAATCATCATTACTGGGCACAAAATAATCCGCATGTCATCAGAGAATCAAAGTGGCAGAACAAATTTGGTTTCAATGTTTGATGTGGGATATTTGGTACCTCACTAGAATTTTGGTCCATGAATAACTGTTTCTCATTGTGTATTTTTTTCAGGCAGTAGACTACTAGGTCCAATAATCTACGATTATAACTTGAATGGTCCACGTTATTTAGAGCTATTGAGAAATGAAATTTCGAATTTTATAGACGAGATACCACTTGCTGAATATGAGTTAATGTGGTTTCAGCAAGATGGTGCCCCACCGCACAATACGCGATTGGTTAGGGAATATCTCGAGAATCAATTTGGTGCTAAATTAATTACTACCCATGGACCTGTGAGATGGCCTCCAAGGTCGCCTGACTAAATTTATGAAGATCCAATTCAAGATATTGATGATCTACGAGATAGGGTGATGGACACATTCCAGAACATCAACAGAGTTCATCTGAGAAAAGCAGCGAATCATGTTCGCTCGCGAATATTAAAATGTATTGAGAACAATGGGGGCCATTTCGAGCAGTTCAATTGATTTTTTTTCAGTATTTGTATTATTCAACTGTTATTAAATTTTTTTTCTGCTATAATAGTACACATCCAATTCCATGCGATAAGTTATGCAAGAACATAGAACACAGAATTCATAGCCTACTTGACATAAAAACAAAAATTGGAAATCAGTACCCCAAATAGAACAAAACTGTGAGTGTGATACATCACTAGAAAGGAAATTTGATGCTGATTTCAAATCTGTCAAAATCCAATATGGCGTCCATAAGAAAAATTGAAGTTGTAGGTAATATCTCAGAAATTTGACATTTTGATGGAAAACTGACAAAACCATTGAAAAGAGCACTAAAAAGTGCTATGAGAATGTTGAAGTCATTTTTTCATAAAATCAATAGGTTCCGAGATATTCGAGAAAAACAAAAATACAAGATTTCAGTTTTTCTCAAATAACTCAAGAATGACTGAAGCTAGCCCGGATTTCTCGATAGATTATGATTCAACATTAAATTTGCTACAACTTTGCTAATTTAACCGTTTCTCTATCTCTCATAGTTACTGAGATCCCAATGGTGAGGATCGAATTTGGGACACACTGTATATTGAACTAGTCGAAGCCCTGAGGGGGCAGAAGGACGATCTAGCCTTCATAGCCATCTAGTGGCTTAAGTGTAAAGGTGTATAGGTAGATTCATCAATAATACCTAGCGAGTAATCGTGCATATAGACCCCTATACGGAGGCGTAGAAGGGCCAACAACTTTATTTTTATGGAATTGCCACTTCGAAGTAGCAATTGTCACCTTGAACGGGCTATTGTCACTTCAAAGAGACAATTGCCAGTTCAAAGTGACAATTGTCACTTCAAAGTGACAATTGTCAGTTCAAAGTGACAATTGCCACTTCGAAGTGGCAATTCCATAAAAATAAAATACCCTACCCAGTATCGATATATCGAAACTACAAAATATCATTTGATCATCAATTATCAAAAAGTCAAAAGAGTAATTTCATTGTTTTATGATTATGATACAAAAAGTTCTACGCCTTCGTACCCGTACGCCTATATGCTTACAGGAAAAACACCATCACCACCAAAATATCGATACCCTACCCAGTATCGATATAGCGAAACTACAAAATTTAGCATTTGATCATCAATTATCAAAAAGTCGAAAGAGTAATTTCATTGTTTTATGGCACACAAAAATATCATGTCATCTGTTCGTCGAATGCGAGTTCGGAACGTGGGGTTCTCATATTAGATGATAGATGGCGCGATCGATGGAAATTTTTTTGATTCCCTGTGATGAAGAATGAATTCAATAATAACCAGGGGCGGATTATAGTACAAGCCCGCAAAGCCAGGGCTTGTAGCGCTAAATCCCAGATGGCGAAAAAAATTACAAATACTAGAAAGAATTGGATCATAAATCAAATTATATATTACCTTATGTGGGTACTTTAAACTATATGATACTTATCTTATAAATATACAACATATTTTTAAAATCGCACTGATTGCGAAAAATTATCCGAAGTGAGGAAGTAGCAATAACTCTATAACAGCTCCCGTAGTTGTCCTCCTAAAAGTCATTACGCATAGATGGCAACATTTGGCAACGCTACGCTGTATCAGCGGCATGTTTAGTTAGCCTAGCACAGTATATCATCCTTTCACGAGGATAATAAACTGTGGTTCGAGACATCTATTCGGAGAATACCAGGACACAGAAATATTGCACTTTTGCACTTCGCGCTGTTATACATTTGCAGATATCAATGTGTTAGATTTGCTATGATAATATTGTGTTTGTTTTGGTGTTTTCGTCATGAGCGGCTTAAATAAAAAAATAAGTGATGCTGAATATCGAAAAAAAGCTAGAAATAAGGCAGAACGACATGAGCAAAGCAGTAACTAACTGTTCAGGAGAAAGATCTGTCTCGACACTCAAGAGAATCAAAAACTATTTGAGGTCGAAGTTATTGGATTCCAAACTGAGCGACTTAGCCTTTATCACAATAGAATCAGACCTGCTCAAAAATTCAGAAATAACAGTTAGGTTAGGTTAGGTCTTAAGGTCTTAGGTCTTAAGGTTGTTGGAGAATAATTTGTCAATGTTGTTCAACTATTTTTTAGTGTCTGATATAATTTTGAAAAAAATATGTATAACACTGTCGCTGGTTTCGTGTATCTCATATATAAACTGAATAAAACATTGAGAAAATATGCATTGGCTTTGGGCGCGTTCGAATGTTAATCCGCCCCTGATAATAACTGATAAGAAGGATATAGAGACAGGACACAAAAGAGACAGTGCGCAACAAATAATCCGCTCGGAAACATCTTGATATGATATATCTGTCACGAGTGTCATATTTTCGGCACATTTATGATTTTGATCAAATTTCGAATAAAAATATCATAAATTGAGATCATTAGTAGTTCATGAAGCAGGAATTGATATTATATTATTAATTGAGAGTGTATTGTGCTTTCATCATGGACTGACTGTTGCAATTGTGTAAGGATTATTTGAAAATCCGAACATTCTTTTCATTTTATTATGTATCAAAACTGAGTAAATTATTATTTATTGAATTGGGACTTCGTGTCGTTCATGAATTCACTATTGAAAGTCGAAAAAATGACGCACCCTTTCGGTTTTAACAAAAAATTGTTAAAATGAAAATGTGAACTCAAATGGATTTGTCATGATGCCTGTAAATTTGGTTTGAAACTTCGGAAATTTTGCAAGATTCTCCCACGCCTCGCTATTTTTACAAAGTAGGCGATATCGAGAGATTTCGAAGCTCCTCCCAATAACCTACTATTCTTTGGTGATAACACCATTTGACTTCCTATACATCTATGATATATCGATACTTAGTATCGACAAAGAGGAGAGGGTATCGATACTTTCTGACCTACCACCTTGACCTTGGCTCTTGTTAGAGTCTAGTTAGAGTCCCTGTATATACCTTAGACAAGAGTCCGGACACAGCTATACTTCTGTCCTTTTCTGTTTTCAAAAAATGCATTGATGATTGAATAAAGGAATAAGACATATATATCGAGCTCTGTCATTTCGAGTCGTAGGTAGAAGTGAGAAATAGGGCTATTTTAACTAGAATAACTATGAGATTTTCAAATAATGAACAACAGGGTGTTCAAATTTCGAATCAATAATTTTCATAATCAATTCCTGAGATGGCTATTGCAAATTTTCGTCATCAAATATTTCTTCATTTCATTAGATATAAGAAAGATAATTTAAGTGCTCTACGTAGTATCACATATAGCCAAGAAAATATAGTTGTTTTCTGTTGGGATATAAAAAAATAGAAGATATATAATTGTTTCAATATAGTTTTAGTTGTGTCGGTTTCCCACCTTTTCCTGCAGTCTACATACACCTGTAAATTTTGAATTTGATCTGAATTAAAAACACCGTGGACTGATGACATAGCACATTGCAATTTCTCTAAATCTTCTGATTTTGATTTCAAATTTTGAATTTCTTTCCGCATCATCTCATTCGCATTTTATTCTTTCTCTGCGATCATTCAGTAATTCTCTCGGTAATTCCCAATACGATGACGACGGAACTCTTTTTTTGAACGTCTCTGTTTTATAAATTGACGGCACAGCAGACTCTTTCACTTTGAAATCCAGCTTGAAAGAATCTCTATCAAAATGGGCCTAACATTCATCTTTTTTGTACTGTTTTTACAAGTAAATTTGAATATTTACCTCACATATTGCGGATTCCTTGAAATTAATTCTCTATTCTGGACGTTTCATTGCATCCTTCCATCTTTAAAGGATCATTCGGAAAATTGAATAACTTGAATCCCTTTTCTAATGAATTATCGCAATAATGTACGCAGCAGGACATTGAGATAATTTGAAATGCTAAATTTTGGCGGTCATAAAATTTCAAAGTGACAGTGACAGAAATTCGAAATAATTTAAAAAAGCGGGCGGGACGACTATGGTGTTTCGTCACATTGTCAGGTGGGCAAACCAAATGAAACAAAATATTAAAAACCCCAACAGCTGTCAATTTTGTGTCATTCGATCATGATTGCTTGATTGGATTGGATGTCAAATTGTCAAATCAAAAATCAATTCAAATAATCAATCATTTATTTAAAAATTTATGAACTTGTAAAGAATGGATATTGAAGAAGAGAAAACGATGTTAGAAGAACAATTTATATTACGTATTCCTTCAGTAAGAATTTCCAAGATGAGAGCAAAAATAGAAACAAAAATATGTGTAATAATATAACCCTTAATAATTTTATGTAGGAAGAAGCACACAAAATACGTGCCATTTTAAGAACCAAACCAGAAAAACTGAAGAAAATATTGAAATTTGCTATTGATCCAAACACAAATAAAGTAATTACACAAATTTCAAAACTGAAGTTGTATGGCACTTTGAAAAAACTGCCCACTATTGTGGAATCATACAAAACGAACATTTGTAATAACAAATCAGTGATGTTCAAAACTGCTGATATATGTCATATAGCTGATTGTAGTTATGAGGAGAAACCCAAAGAAAAAATCGAAACTATCCATGGATTGACTTTGCCTCTGAAGAATGTCAAGAGAAAGCGTTTCAGGAAAACAATGTACAATGCTGATACTGCTGTTGAGGCAGAAGCTGTATCAAAAGAATTGTATTATTTGCTGAGCACAGATTTAGAAGCGGTAAGATATATTGGAGTAGCTAGTTTTACTTATTCCTATAATGCATTAGGTATGTAAAATTCTGTTCTTCATGATTGTATACTTACCTTAGATCTTTCATAATTGACCAAAAACTAGCCTCCTGTTCACTCTTCAATTCTAAAATTACTACATACTTTTTGTCTGGAATTCATGTTGTTTTTTTTTGTTTTCTAAGATATGAAATTCAAGAGAAAATTCAAATTGGTGTGAGATTATTGCATTCTTTGACAAATTGATGAACACTGAGGAAAACTTATATTTTTTAAACCTCTCAAGAGTTCTCTCAGTAATTCAAGGGGCCTTCCACACAGATCTCAGTAGATTTTTTTCTCAACATAATTTCATGTTCTTTGGATAGAGTATTAAGTAATAGAAAACATAACTCTTTGGTTTTCTAAATTTCTTCTATTTTAATTTGTATTCCAGAAAGAGTAACATTGAGAAAACAAAACTTTTCTCAAATGGAGTAAGTACCTAAATAGAAGTTCTCATTTTCAGAAATCGCACATGGCTATAGACAGAATTTGGTTTTTGGGTTCAAACATAATAGGTATATGTAGGGTCCCTTGATGGAAATTGACATTAATAGTTATTTATGTATTAAGGGAATTATGAGGGCCTTAATTACCGATGGCAAAGTTTGCGTCCCGAGGGCCTCTGGCCCGAGGGACAGCAATTGCCAGAGGTTATTAAGGCTCTATAATTCCCGTGATACATAGATAATTTTATTTCTGACTGATTTCATCCATTAGATACCTTCTCGATTGGAAGTTAGACATGTTTTTCCGTATAGTTTCAATGTCATCAGAACGTCAGATGATGATCTTGACTACCGCGAATAGGAGATTCCTTATTGCTACGTTATTGCGTGGTTGTTGCTATGCATTTCTTATTTAATTTTAGCTAGAGGGAATTATAGCATCTATAACATCCCAAGGGAGTTATGACCCTCATTATAGATATCGTAACTATGACGATATAAGCTTATAATGTCACTGTCAGAAATAAACTCATTAAAGTCATCTTAACAGGGTACGGACAGATCATAGCTGCATTCTTTTTTAATGATCTAGAGATTTTTGTTTTGTCTACTGGCATCCCTGACATTGCTGTCACGTCTCATCCATGGGCGCTACAGAAAATCATTCAAAATATTAATGATGGGTATGTACAGGGTATTTACTTGTTGGGGAAGATCATGGCAAACGATTTTGTAATTATGATCCGATTCTATTCAAAATTGGAAGGTATGTGGGGTTTTCCGTGGTTGGAGATGATGATTGTTTCGTCAAACTTGAAAAATTCAAGATGACGGATCCAATATATAGCAGAATAAACTAATTAGTATCAGATCCTATTTAAGATAGGTATCTGAGGGTTTTCGGGGTCGAACTTTATGATTTTTTGTCAAAATTGGAAAATTCGAGATAGCGGATCGAATATGGCGAACGAAACTTGTAATTATTATGATCCGATTCTATTCAAAAAATCAAAATTGGTATCTGGGAATTTCCGGGGTCGGAGATCATGATTATTTCGTCAAAATTGGGATATTCAATGACGGATCCAATATATGGTGGACAAGTTTTGTATTGAAGATCCGAGTCTATGCCAAATTGGTATCTATGGGGGATTTCGGGGTAGGAGATTATGATTGTTTCGTCAAAATTGGAAAATTCAAGACGACGGATCCAATATGGCGAAAGGCATTAGTTTATATAATTATTACTCCGCCACATATAGAAAGTATGTAGGAACGTGCCTATAAGTTATACTGCGTATACTTAGCGTATACCTACTTCTTTCTTACTTTCATCAAAAAATTATTCGAAAATGACTTTTCATTCAAAAGAGACGGAAAAATCATATGTATAACATGGGGGTGAAGTATATTCTATTCTTTACTTTCCTGCACATTTTACGTATAAATTTTTATCAGCCTACTTTTCGTCCTAGGCGAAGTTTTATACATAGTGTGATATTAGTAACTCCATAAATTCTTCTCCGAGTTGGATTTCTGAAAATATATTTAGCGCACATGACATGAGTACAGTAGTCTAGATACCCACATCGCGGTTTCCACCATTTCTCAATCATAAGGCTCAGCTCATTCAGCTCATAGATAAACTACTACTCGGCTTGAAATCATAATTCATTCAGTCAATTCAGTCAAGAACAGTCTCTTCTGGTGAAATATATAAAGCTTTCAGTACAATTTATATGTTCCCTAAACCGCAAAGATTATTCTGAAGTAGTAAACTCTAAAACTAGAGGATTGTTCATCTATATCTTGGTATAGTTGAATCAGGAATTCCATATGGAAATTACGTATGTTACGCCAGTGACCTCAATATAATCTAAAAAACAACGAATGTAAAAAATCTAGTGTTTATCCCCATAACTGAATAAGGATGGAGCTATATAACTGTTTCACAAATACTTTAGAGTGAGAGGAGACGAGGATCTGTCCGTACCCTGTTAAGATGACTTTAACGTCAATTTCCATCAAGGGACCCTAATAGGTATATGTTTTATGTGATCACAAAATGTCATATAGAGTCCAAAAAGATATAAAAAACAGTGATCCATTTAAAACAATGGATTCCAGATTTGTCACGCTTCTAGGTATCACTCTGTGAGTTTAGATAAGGGCCATGGAAAGGCCTCAGCAACGTTCAATTTCGGTATTTTTTTTCTCGCCTACCTCTTATGATTTGTGAACGTGACAACACGGCGCACGACTTGTGGGCGTGGTTTTGTCACTTCTCAGCATGCAGCACAATGTTGCAATGTCTCCAACATTTACATGATATTTTGTTATGCCTTATGAGAAAGATTTGGACTGGTTGCTCAAAAAAGTCAAGAATGAACTATAATATCATGGGTTCCTCCTATTATGTTTTATTCAACGACAGGACTAAAATTAATTTAGGTTCCTAATGAAAAAGTAGAGTAATCGAATGCCAATTCATTATCAGTCCACTCGTCCATTACATGGAACGTTCAAACAGTGTTTGGCGACATACTGGTCTAACCTCATAAGCCCGTTTCCTGTGTTGCCAACTATTCTATTTACAGGAATTATCTAGTAAATATCGTTACAATTTCCAAATTGATTCAACTCTAAAACAAACTGTCGAGATGATTTGATATTCATCAATGTGGTAAATGTCCATAATATAGGTTGTAGGTTCAATCAGCGTTGACAAAATTCGGCTTGAACTTCAATTATACGGTTATACCAACTTTCACACAATCTAAATGAACGATTTTGGTATATATCCGCTATTTTAATGAACCCCAAATTCTGATGGTATCACTTCAATATATGTAGGTCTTGCTCAGTTCATACATGGCATTGTTGAAAATCATTTTAAAAATCAGTTGAAATTTGAGAGCGATGAGCCGATATGAATGTTGAAATGAGTCAATTGAGATGGCAATGTTGTTTACTGGATCATCGATTATTCTTGACTACCTATGAACGATTGGCGCGCTTTTTCTATGGTGATGAACGTCGTGGTAGGAATTCGAATAACCGATATTGATTCGTTTCAGGTTTCTTCGAAATTCGAAATATTATATGAAAATGGAAGCGGTCCTAATGTTAAGAAGCAGTGTGGTAAGAAGAAGGACGGACGGAGAACATTCTCATTTTTGTGCAAAAACTCTAATAACGTTTATTTTCATTTACAGAAAAAACGTTATTTGGACAACTGTCTAGTGATTCCTCAGAGGTTTTAATTTTGATATCCATTGCTTAATTTTTTCATCTTGCTACCATCTTCCATCTTCATTAGATAGTGTGGATCAATTTTTCAATGTGACAGCACCAGAAATAACATATACCGGATGTTCTCATTTTTCTCAACAAGCGATATCTGTGCTATCAGAAACGATTACAAGACGAAGTGTCACATCTATTCTAAAATTAAACCCCACAAGATAAGTGATAAGATTAGTGTGGGCCAAATTTAACACCAAAACGGAAAGTTCCATTTGTGAACTGGTTAGACTAAGACTGATTTAGTAGTGGTAGAATTTGAGTAGACTGTACAGGGTGGCTGGAATTTGAGCCTCATTATTGGGATTTCGTAAACCGTAAGAAATATAGGGTCGGTTAAATTATGGCAAAGTTGTCCAATTTTATGCCTAAAAAATGCCGTCTTTAAAAATTTTTGGAAAAACTCGAATATCTGCGATTTAATGGAAATCTGATGACATCATCTTGTAGAATAGAAAAAGTAGCAATAAGAATGTGTAATTTGCTTTGTTATACTATTAATCTATTATCATTAAAAAATAAAGGAATGAAAATGAAATCGCAAATATTTGGTTTTTCCCAAAAATCTTTGGAAGTATTCGGAATTTTTCAAATTTTAAATCGGCATTTTGTTAGGCATACAATCGCACAACTTTATGAATAATTTTACCGACCCTGTATCTGTTAGGGTTTACGAGATCCTAATGTATAACTATGGAGTTATTTATTTCTGATATACATCTTTTCATAGGCTAACTTATATATATCGCAACTGAGATTATGCAGAATGAGAATGAAAACAAACTTATTTTTTAATGCTGAAGCTGAAAAGTTTTGAAATCATGCTCGTCTACTCAAGATGGAAGTTCAACATTATCTATAGTCAATGTACCTACTAATTCTGACCTTCTTTCAGTTGAGTGAGATTTCAAGTTGATACATCCGTGGGATAATAATTAGATGTAATGTTTCGTTTAGTTTATTATTTGAATGTTGAATGCTTGTTGGTTGTGAATTGACAATTCAGGAAATATAAATGAGTTATTTCTCAGTCAAATGATTGAATTACGGAAAAAGTTGTTTCTTAGGACGAGAAATAGGTACGCAAAAAAAGTAAGAAAACGCATTGGACAATGTTGCAACGTTGCACAGCTACACGTTCATTTTCACCGCTTACACTTGCACTGCACTTACACTTGCACTGCACTTACACTGTAATACATAGTCCAGTGACTCCCTACTACTTCTAAATTTCCCATGTGTTTGTTCTTCTTTCACGATCAATTGCAACTGTAAATTTGGTTAATAATTGTTTTTTCCTACACTTCTAATTTAAAGTTGCCACATCTCCTAATTTTACAGTTGCGCCTGTAAACCAGGAAGATCCAATCCTACTACCTACTTCTTTGTGGAAATGATTAATTGAAAATATACAGCCAAGACGTTTACCGATAGGGCGTGAAAACTATGGAGGTACTGAACATTTAAACTATCAAGGAATGTTAATGCTTGTTTGACATTTATAGTCATGCGACAAAATTTGCAGGAGGTAATGGTTCTGGTGTCATATATAATTTCTTTATTTCTGGTACCACCATTGATAGAAGTTGATCAAATTGACGGTACGTTACACGAAAGGCATTCATTCGTCATTCAGTCGCATTTCTCGAACGAGGTTGTAATAAATTTCGCGACATTTGAATATGCTTCGAAGTCTACAACTCCTTTTTCGCGTCTGGACACATCATTAGCTCTAGAGGCGATACAAATGATCCAGAGAATCCATCCTGCAAAAAAATGTAATCAAATGAAGAATAAATGGTGAATCTTACAATTATAATTGTGTACCTACCTGTAGCCTAGTGTCTAGTCTAGTCTTTTTTCTGCGTCTGCTGTCCGCTCCCTTATTTCCCAACAACACATTTTATGCAAACCGTGTGGTTATATGATTCCATCCGAATTCGTAAAAAAGTTCAAATATTTCAACTTCATTGCGATTTTTCCAGCTGCCATTTTAATCGCATAAATTTTGCGGAATTCGTACAAGCATAAACATCATTTTATTATATTATTTTTATATATGATTCATTCAGAAACAAATATGAACACGGTAATTTTGAACAGTCCGTCGGTAAGAAAAGATTGGCAACAGTCGGCAAGAATGGCAAGATACTGACTTGGAGTTTGGTACTCAGACAGCTTTCAAATTGTGAATCTACTGGTACGCCAATTACTGATATTGGTTGATTTTCTTGACAAAATCAGATTCAAATCAATTATGGGGAGAGACAAGAAAAAAAACGAAACTTTAAATAACGATAGTATTATTTATGTATCACGATTTACAGTTTGTATAAAATATTATTTTAAAAATAAGGAGTAAGCAAATCCACACATTCCACAAATCTCACTACTAATTGGTAGTAGATAGGTTATTTTTCAATGATTCAATCTGAAATGAGTATACTGTGATGATGAATATTTATTTGGGGGATAGAAAGTAAGGAGCTTAAATTGTAACTGAGCAAGGGATAGAATCCGAGATCCTTGGTATTGCAAATCTGATCTTTAAAAAATAAGTTATCCAATCTTCCATTTTTTAGAGATATAGTTTAAAAAAATAACTAACGTGAGATTGTGATTGTTGCCATTATAACACGTGTTCACAATAATTCTACTCCTACTGAATGGCCATTGTGCAATTCACAATAGGATATATGGCTCCACAACCTACCGAGTTTCTTAAAAATTACCCATTTGAAGATAATGAATAATCTTTACACTACTCAAACTCCATTGTAAGTTCCAATGAAAGGGACAATAAACATTAGTTGGATCTCAAGATTGATAAACTAGACAGGTTACTTAACGCCTTATCGTGTCTGTTCTCTGCCTCTGACGTGAGAATATTAATTTTCTGTGAATGCAGTAAAAATCTGATGATACAGTTATGTAACTCAATATCATTCAACGATTTCAAGTATTTTCTTTCTATAGAATCATTTCAAAGCATTCAAATGATCAGGCACAGTAACGGCAATCAAGGCCACCTGTCTCGTTTATCAATTTTAGTTGGAGTTGTCACATAAATCTTAGGCCATTGGACCATAAAGCCTGATGTCACTGACAGTTACAAACGTCACTAGCGGATACACAGAAACTATCTGCAAATCGTCCCGAGTGTATGAACCAATCAGAACGATTCTAGCTATGGCGGTGCATTCAAAATGAATCGTGATTGAATCCGAATCTTTTCGAGAAAAGAAAATCGGATGAAGTGGAAAATTTCAATCATATAAAAATATAGTATTCAACAAAATTAAATGGATTGAGTCTATTTATCCTTAACAAACTAACCTATTCCTAATTGCAATATTTTTGGAGGAAGGAAAACCAGAATGAAGTAAATACACATTGATCAATGATAAGTCAAGTTTTTCAACAAAATTGAATAAAATGAGACTGTTTATCCAAAACGCACTAACCCATTCGACATTCGATATTTTTTGAGGAAGCTAAACCAGAATGAAGTAAAGATACATTGGTGAAAAAAAGTTGTTAAAAAAAGATGAATCGAACCTGGGTCCTGCAGACCTGCATTGATATATGCGCGCGCATTCGGGACGATTCGCAGATGGTTTCTGTGTATCCGCTATTCAAACGTCATGCTTATCAAATATGTTTCCAAACAATCTCTCCAATTTTCAAAGATGTGTGCTGTAGTTTCACTACCCTTTAGAACCTGATACATATAGGTAGATATTAACGAACCAACAACAATTCATTACAAAAGGGTATGAGGGAGAAGACCAAGAAATAAATGGGCATTTCCATTTCCTTGAACCAATTGATCATAAATTGAAAGTGTTTTGAGATCTGTTGAGGATATGTCGAAGATCAAACCTCCAAATTCAAACTCTAACACCTGTATGACAAGACACTAAGCATTTTATTGTACAATAATCAAGATAGCAAATCATTACGGCCACTCATTGACATGGACTGTGGATTTTATATATCCCAAAACGGCATTAGCACTGATCCGCCCTTTTCGATGATTTGAAACATGTTTAACAATGCATTTATAACCTTCCTAAGACGTCACGACTCTCGGTCCATTCATATATATATATATAAATTATGGCAACCACATGAATATCTCAAGTTTTGTGGTTCGAAATGTGACTTTTGCAGTTGCACAAAGGGATAATGTAATTTTTCAACCTGCATTTGTCGCTTCTCTGAAGTATAATTTCAATTATTTTCAAAATTCACAATCGACCCTCCAGTTATTTGTATTCCTTTGAAATATAATGAAGAATATTCTTCGTATTCGATTGTAACTTACTTTGCAACTCAAGAAAAATGCGCAGCCGCTGTAGTGTTTTACTTGAAATCAGGACATGAACAAAAACCAAGGCACACTGCATATTGGCTCAAACTCTCTGAAAAGACAAATTCAAAGGTTCACGCCGCACTTTGAAGGCTACGTCCTCAGGGCACACAAATTTTCTGCTCGAAGGGTTTCACGAGAACGAAGCAAGGACGTTAACAGGGCTGTCAAAAAGCCAAAGCCGATACTCGTTATCACTGAAATTCAATATCATTATTTAGTTTTAGTGTATTGGCAGCATTTACGATCCTGCCATTCGAAGAAAGGTTATGATTCTGAGTAGTTCTGAGTTATTATGTCCACTCAAATTTGAAATTTCGAAGTGTTGAGATAGATATATCTCAACATATGAATCAGATTTTATGTCGTCCTGTTCACAAGAACCTCGTTGATCGGTGCACCTAAACAAACCAGTGATGATTCGCATTTTTTCCAAATCATTTGGACCTTGATAGACGGCTATATACAGGGTGACACTGAAATAAATACAGATACTTCAAACCCTAAGGAAGCTCGACGTATAATTCATTTCAAGATTCGTCTTGGGCGTTGTTTTGCTACAAAAATGATGGCCAACTCGATCGAGGTCACGTGACTTTCGCTACATGTCAAAAGTTACATTTTCTCAAATTAAGTCGCTGAAAATAGGTTTATTTGCTTGAATTTCGAAAAAGTTACTTTCAGTTACTTATTGTCGACGAAAATATGATTTTCTTTAATAATATATTACGTAACAAATGTTATAAGAAGCAAAAATAGAAATATTACACACGCAGCCGTGGTACGATCACTGATCCGTAAAACCAATTATGATCTCAATCCTCAGTCAGTTTGGTCGCGTTTTGAATGAAAAAATTGGCAAGTATAAGCCCACACTTGGGTTTATCCCAGTATCGTCGGCATATGCATTTCTTACACGCGGTTTTATGGAAGCGACTAACTAAACTTTTTCTTCCAAAAGTACATTAGAATTATGTATCAGTTTTCTTATATCTCATTCCATGGGTTACATGTTTTGGCAAAAAGGAAATCCTATGAAGAGAGCACTTGAACCAAAGACAGTAGACCTTGGTTTCAGTAATCAAAATGTGTCATTGTCCGGAAGTTCAAGTTTTCTGCACTATTTGAGGAAGAAATTGCCGAAACAAAATCAAATGATGAATACAAGTGAGTCACACTACATCCTAGTTCTCCAATCTTGAAATCATTCCCAATATCTACTTGATTTCACTCCGGAATAAGATGACAATTGCAGCTTCAACGGTGATGAGGATGGACACTCCGGTAGATAAAGATATAAAACTGTGGCTCAACATTACTAATAGTGATTTTGAAAATAGTTGCTCCTAGGTGGGGGCATGGGCATCATCCCCATACCCATCGGCCCCGATGGGTAAGGCATCGCCTGAGGTCCAACAGGGTAAGGTAATGAACTTGGCACGTTGCCTGGGATTCCCGGAAAAAAATTGCTGTTGATATTTACCGGCGGGGCGTTTATATAGTTCGGAACATTACTGAGCGATGGATTCCTCTGCAACAGTTTCGATAGTTTTTCTGCTTTCACTAGTCGAAGGTGCATGAGTTTCCTTTTTTCTAGGAAATTGTCTAGGTAATCGTCTAACTCGATTTCGCTTTCCAAATATCTTTTGGCCATCTTATCGGATTCTTCCTCCATTTCGCTGGCGGCTGTTTGGAGCAGGGCAAGTGCTGTTTCTAAAGACATGTCCCCTCCTTTTTCCTCTGAAATATGATGGAAATTCGTGTAAGCATTGTCTTTCTGTGTTTCCTATGTCTGTTAAAATCCTTAGTGACAATGATATAAACCGCATGACAAATGAAGTGGTTCACCTGAATATTTCAGCTAATTTTATTACTGTGATTACAAAAAAGTGCATGTTTAAAAAATGCTAAACTGCATTTTTTCATTACAATGTTTACATTCTGCCATGAACAGAGAGAACTATGGGAAAAAATTAACTCTAGTAAGTCCAGCAACACAAAGGAATAGACCCGAAGTAGTTTATCCTTAAGCGGGGTTCATAACCAAACTTTTTACGTTTCGTATTCTGATTGGTGAAGCAGAATCTGAAATTAAACGTGAGCAAATGTCATTCACAATAACAAAAAATCGTGACTTTTTATGGCTCAGTTGCCTTGGTTTTGTTATTTGTTTTTCATCCTGAAATGAAGTAAATAATCATAACAATAATATATTGATCAGATAATTAATAATATTGAATTGATAGAACTGGCGCCGCGGTGATAAGTTGATCCTTATTCAATACTTGAAGAGAAAAATCAATCTTCAACAAAAAAAATAATGAATTGAACAGTATACCTATCTATTATTCTGTGGATTCACGAAAAAATCATGAAAACATCATAACTTCCATATTATCACAGAATGTTTCATATTATTCGTATATTTTTACTATTTTCACAGACGATGGCTTCTTGCAACGCAAAAAGCTGAATATTTTCAGCTTTTTGCGTCATTTCAATTACAGATTTTGCTTCACCAATCAGAATACGAAACGTAAAAAGTTTGGTTGTGAACGCCGATTTATACAAATGACACCAAAAATAAGTCTGTGAAAGGGCATACATTTGATTATTGTTTCAACAATACCCCCACTTTTGTCACATGTTCAGTTGGAAATTTTGGGACTTCCTACAGGTGGGCAACGTATGCAAATTCTTGCCGCGGTATCATTTCAAATTTCAACAAAAACCAATTGGCAGGCATTTACTAATCAAAGTACGTACTTCCCGGACTAGGCAGATGATAATTACCATAGCAGCGAAATATCGGCTGATAGCTATTCGACATGGAATTAGTTGACATTTTGATTTTTGAGAGTTTGGTTGCAATTATAGCAATAAACTATCATAAGCAGATGCGATAGTGAGTTTGAAAATGTCCATATGAAATTTCCAATGTAACAGTTAGTAGGTATAGGTATTCTGTTCAAATTTCAGTATTTGATTCAAATGAGAACTAATTGAGAGGAAATTATATTCTACAAAGAATATAATATGGAAATGTGTCTCATTGATTTGTTATTCTACATGGTTGCCGAAAAAATCTCGGAAAAAATAGTGTACACAAGTTGAAGAACATCGAATTTGGGATTGGTATGATAAACAAAACAAAGAGTCAAATTACAGTGCGAGAAATGGCCTACCATGATTTTCGTTATTTCCCAAGTTGTGTAGGTTTTCCCAGCCATTGTCGTTCTAGATGACAACCTAGTTAGGTAGTTAGTAGGTCGCCTACTAGGTTTTCATTTAGATCGACAATGTCCCAACTGTTCGGGGTTGCAACCAGCAATCTCCTGCTTTCTGGGAAGTGGGTTATATTTCTGGGAGGATCTCACACACTAAATATCCATTGAGAGGGTTATTTGATTTAGTAGGTATATTGCAGTTTTATATTTTACGCGACACACCGGTACCTTGTCCGAGCGTGGAGAGGTACTACTCTTTTTCGGCCGAAACGCACACGTTCGGCCACTGCGCAGAATTTGACTCTATTTCGCGGAATATCCGAGAATTGAGATACAAGGATATTCATATTTTCAATAAACAATCGCCGAGATATCAATATAAGAAATTTTGTAATAATATGATTTTGCATGGAAAGAAAATTAATTTCAACTATAGATACTAGATAACTTTACTAAACTAGAGGTGGGGCGTGAATACAACACGTCCAAACACAGTTTTTTTCCGGACTTTTTACATGAATTACTATTATCACAAATAAATAATTTCATTTTGTGCCAACCAGAGTGCATAGTTAGACAGGTAATTGGATTGCCTAATTGTCTAGGACATGTTGGAAACCTGTGAAAATAATGACATGAAAAATGCATTCATTGGAAAAAAAGCTGCACCAAATCTGTCTTGAATGGCCAGTCTATAGGTACACTCTATGGTTACACTTTTGTCAGTTTTCAAAATGAGGGCTTATCAATTGTCCACCAAATCGCACCACTGAAATGTGAAGTCAGAGTTGGTAGAACTGGTGAGTATACTTCTTTTTGTGTCATTTGGTCACTTCCTACAAAATCTTCTTATCCATTATTGTAAGAATTGGTCTCAAAGTTCCACATTGAGAGTGAAAAAATGTAAGTCTGTTGAAGTATTTCCATAACTTGAGGATTTTTATTTGTTTGAATATTCTACCACATTTTTTTAAATATTTTCATTGAAACAGACAACAGCCTTTAGGGCTAAACAGCAAAATTTGGGAATTTTCGACTTTGACATTGACCTCATGTTTTAATAGCAACAACTGGTGAGACTGAACATGTTGGCCCTCATTGCAGTAGATATTTTCATTAATTGCATTCAATTTATTATTTCTTACAAATATAATGTACAACAACAGTTTGGTAGTATACAGTGTTCCTCAGAAATGAAAATAAAACACAAAAAAAGTTCAAATTTAAGCTTAAAATTGAAGAGTTTGATGATAATATTGATTCAGATGACATTAAAATTGGGGAAAAACTTTCAATATATTCCAGGAGTTAGGAATGTTTTCATCCAGTTTTAACATCACCACATCAGATAATGACTAGCAAATAACTCGGCAAATAAGGCACACCAAGTGAGAAAAAAATTAACATCATGTTAAGATGTCTATTTGGATATGCAGTTCAAAGGGACTTTAGAAAATCGGAAAAGTCTATAAAATTATAGAAAATTAGGAATGTAATCAAGTGAATGTGAATTAGTATCAGAGGAGAAAATAGAAAAGAAAGTCAGAGGTATAGTGAATCAGAAGGCTGGAGAAGAGGAAATTAAAAGAATTAGGGATAATTAACCACAAAGGAAATATCCATACACTTGTCAGAGAATAATGAAAAATTGGTGTGATTGAATGAGACCAATAAGATATACAAAATAAAAGCATATGAAAATTGAATAAAAATTGAGGAAGAACTGAAATTGAGAAAATATTGGAAAATGTCAACTCACTTAATTCTTTAACTTTTGCTTCAACATTTTTGGACAGCTGTTCTCCCATTGCAGATAACTCCAGGATTTTTTCGCGACCCTCAACTAACTCTGGTTCTTTTGATGAATTGTATTCAGCCATAGAATTATTACTCACCAGCATGTTTTCTTTTTCAATTTCTATTTCCTTTAGGTATGACTGAAAGGATACATTATAGAAGTAGGTACAGCACAAGCTTTTTTTTATCGCTGAAGAATATTTCAATGTTTGTGCTCCCAGTACTTACTTGGTCCAGGTTGGTTAATAGTTCCTCAATTTTTTCATCATCATTGATAATAGCATCCAGCTCGTCATTAGTCAGCGAAGTTAATTGTGATACTGCTCTTTTACAATCGGATTGGAGTATTTCTATCGACATCTCCAACTACAACTATTGTTCAAAATATTTTAGATTGAAATATGAACTAGTTCCAATGAAACTACATAAACAAAATTATATCTTGTCATTCTTGTCTGTCATCCTCATTTCAGTCAATCATACAGTCGAGGTCAATCAACAATGAACTTAATACAAGCTTTGTTTTCATGACAACGTTTTGCGTCGTGCGTCTTGCGTTGCCATGTTCTGATTGGCTATTTCAAATGACGCAAATTCCATGAAATTTGTTATAATTTTCATTCATGCGTCCGCTTCCAGATTTTGACAGGTTGAATTTGAATCCTTTTCGAATCAAATATTCAAAATTTATTATAGGTTTTCAATAGTTATTGCCAGAAATAATAATAATTTGACACCTGCAGTGTTAAAATATTCATTTTTTTATATATATATGAAACGGATGAACAAAATTGGCGAGGAGAAAGTTACTAATTTTACTGTATTTGTGAAGAAAAAACTTGCCTACCGGAAAAAAACAATTTTTGGTGAGACCTATATTCCAAAATAGAAAAAGATTAGGAGCATTTCAAACCTCGATTAGAGAGCTTGCTGACCAGGACTCTGAATGCTATTTCAATTTCTTCAGGTACAATGGTATTCTATAGTAGTCACTTACTCTTCTATATTTCAATAAACCATTAAAAACCCAAGTAAGTACACTGTGAATAGTTCAAATTTCATTGAATTCAAATTTTCTTGAATCTGTGCTCTTATTCCTGTTTTGGGTGATTGGGAAAACATAAAACATAGCCTACAAGAGTAGAGGTTCTCTATCCCACATTTCTCGCATTCGACGTAAAGAAAGTTGAATATTTTTGACTTCATTCTTACTAAATAATGCGTCAGTCAAAATAGCCAATCAGAACGAGGCAACGCAAGACGCACGACGCATAACGTCATGAAAACAAAGCTTTACATTCAGTTCATTGATCAACAATCACAACAATAGTTGCGTTTTATTTGTCCCATTCTCGTAATGAAGGTGGTGGGATCAGAAATCAGAATGACGTTTGCAGATACAACCACAATCTTCATGACCTAGCCAATGATAGAGGTCAAATTTATATATTGGGTTTCCGAATAATTTCAAAATCATAATACTAGAGTTGAAGATTGAAGAGAGTTCTCCGAGGTCGAGAGAATCAATTTTATCTGGGAATGAAGATTTGCAACCTGTCTTACTTGGAAGAATTATAAACTTGTCATCGTCAATTATGTTATTAAGAGTTCATTAACGGTTTAAAAAACAACGGAAAAAAATGTGATATTCCTCGCCCTCTAAAATAATGACAGTTCACTGAAGCCACGCTATATACCTTTCGATCGTCGACAATTTCAGAAGAATGTTGAGAACCGAAATATTTGAAACGAATAGTACGTCTGCTCACCATATAAGTCGCGTGCACGATGACCGACCAGGAGGCAAAATATTGAAACACAACCTCATTCTTCTGTAAATTATTGAAACACAACCTCACTTTTTTATTTGGTTACAGAGGAATCAAAGGATTGAAATAGTTTTTCACAAAATTTTGGCATGCGAATCGTGTTTTTTGCGCTATTCATTGATTCAAGCATGCCTTCGCATTGTGCTGTTGTACAATGCACAAAAAATGCAGCAAGAGACTAAAGAATATGATTTTTCAGGTAAATAGTAATCTCACATAGTTATCATTATGAAATGTTGTCATTCCTTATTCAAATTCCTTCTGCCTTCTGTCACTTCTGCAATGTGACAACACACACGATCGTCAGCATGTCAGACCAGTCCTCCCGATTGATTGCATGAATCCAATTTTCTGGCATTATTTTAGAAATTTCAGATGTATTTCTATTAGCTTCTATCGCAGAAAGAATTCCGATGAGAAATCAGAGAAATTACCAAATTTCAAAAATGAAAACTATATGTGAGTGACTATAGTAGGTACTTACTTTTGAATCATATTGTACCAACCGGATTACTTCGTCTTCCGCTGCAGTTTTTGTGCATTTCACAACAGCATAATATGATGGCATGAGCGAATTGATGAATAGCGGAAAAATACGATTCGTATGCCAAAATAATTGTGAAAAACTATTTCAATCACTTGTAAACAAATAAGCAAAGTGACGTTTGTGTTTCAATATTTTGCCTCCAGTGTCGGTCATCTGACAGTTCTTGCACGCAACCCATACCTACAGCTGCTCACAAGTATTTGTCATTTTCAGTGAATTTATTTTTGGATTTCCGAATGAAAAATCAGCAGATCCAGTACTGTCAGTTGAATTCGGAATATAGCCGAAAACCCTGAAAACGATTTCCAAACTTAGATCATTTCCTGTATGATCTAATAGCGAATTCCATTGGTAAAACTGGGTCGCACTAAGTGCATATTTTGTATTCCATTGGTAAAACTGATATCGGTTTTTGAATTCCATTAGAAACTGTTCACATAGTTTAGAGCTCAGTGCAACAATTCTCGCACGAGCTCTAATAGGTCGTGCGAAATAGGTGCAGTTTTGAAAATGGCGGCAACATTGAATATGCATAGTTTGAAAACCAAAATCAAGTGGCAATCTAATCATCATCATCGAGTAGTGATGAAAATTTGGAGGTTTCAAGAAAATAAAGGAGACTACTGACCAGAATTCAAAATTTTGTTGAGTGTTTTGCACTAAACTTCAATGATATGAAGAGGTTCTCATTGAAAAAAAACTGCTCAGAATCATTTCCATATGAAACATCTACTCCGTTTTTAATTGAAGTCTAGAAATAATTTCAGGATACGGACAAGTTATAAACAATGACAAACAAATTTATCCGATTTGAACTCCAACAATAACATCTTATCATATTATTTCGTATTCCATTGAGAATGCACCAGTACACATTTTGGAGAGAACTAACGTGGTGCGGGTGCAAAACTGGTGCAAAACGAGTGCACCACCAGGTTTACGAATATTTTTGATTTTATATTTCGGAACTCAGATTTTTAATATGGCGCGTTCACATGACAGCTTTGCCTATCACGGACATATACGTATTAATAAACTGCGGAAACCTTGAATAAAACGAGAGCTCTGTTTACTGTGGTTCACATGAACTTCTGACAAAAGCGACATTTGAGGAGACGAATTTCAAATTTGATACTCAAAACATTCAACAAGAAAATGGAATTATCATTGTTCATGGTATTTCGGGAATATTATCCGTTTCTAACAAAGTTCTTCACATATTTAAGTAAAATAACCTGGAAGAAAATGCATGTTGGCTTTTTCAAGTAATCGTGGACATTACTGCTTTCTTGGCAACGCAATGATTTTTGTGTTGAGTTGACACATCCTTGTTGACACGCAGTCTCACCAACGGAACCGAGTCTGCGAGTCAACTCACGTCAAATTCAACTTTTGTAATGACGTAACAATTATGCAAATATAAATTATTTATTTTTTGTTATCAAATAAAAACAGTGACCACCAGCTCAGCTTGCAGCAAATAAATTTATGAATATTTGGATCTTAGCTGGGAAAACATTCTGGATATCTGATCTATGATATAATAAGTAACCACTACAATGTACTTATTGAAGTGTCAATTTCTCAAAGTTCAGAAAACCTCAACATGAATTTTAATTACTCCTATGTCAGATTGATCAGAGATCGAATTCGTTTCATGTCCATTTATAAATCAAAGAATCATTATGATTCCCTTGGCATATCTTCCACATCAACACAAGGAGAGGTAAAATCAGCATATTACAAATTATCCATGGTGTATCATCCTGACAAAAATCAAGGTGATGAAGTATCAGCTGAAAAATTCAGAGATATCACAGAGGCATATGAAGTGTTAGGGAATGTAAAAACTAGGAAATTATATGATAAGGGTATTATGCTGAATACATGCATAATACCATTAAACATCAATGTTGCTTCTTTCAGGTCTCTATTTTAGAACTGGTGCTACTACTACTACTGATACAGATATAGTGGACAGATTCCATAAATCACGGGAAACACGATCTAGACCTCCACCTCCAACTGGTAGGACACCTATTTATGACTTTGATGAATGGTCAAAACACCATTATGGTTCCACCTTTCAACAGCAGATGATTAATAGAAGGAGAGCACAGACATACAAAATGTCAAGACAGCAGGAACAAAATGATATGAAAATGGAAAAAATGTTGTTCGTATTTGTAGCAATATTATTTATATGTACAGTTTACAATAGCTCTGGAAATAAGTATGACAATGTGAAAAATCTAACTAATAGCAGGCCAACTCCAACAGTTACACAAAAATAAAATTCAAATAACCATGATTAGTTTGACTCAATATTTTATTCTCATATTCATTTTTAAAAGAAGGTAAATATGTTGTTTAAATCATTTTATCTTTTCAGGTTATGAATTGGCTGTTGTATATGTAGCCAAAACTACTTTTGAACTAGAAAAAGACATGAATGCCAGGGGCAAATATTCATCAAATACAATTTACATATATCATTTACATACATTTTCATATTGTTTTAATTATAATTATACTCATTTTCTTAATAGGCTAATAAAATTAAATCGAAAAAAACCGTTTTGAGGAATTAATTTCCAGCAAACTGGAAATCGTTTTAATACCTCTATTTGGTCCTAAATGCGTGTAATCTGAGTTTGCACCATGTCAGGTGGTGAGCTTAACTTTTGATAGCCAAAAAACCGCCACATTTTTGCACTTTTTTTATTTTTTTGCTTATAGCTGCAAAACGGTGCGTCGGACGGAAAATGTTATTCCATTCAATAATACAGAGGACAAAATTCTGCGTCGAATGACATCTGAAAACATCAAATTCCGTTCAGAGGTATAGCCGAAATCGAATGTTAAAAAAAAGAAAATTTCGTAGTTCGGTGCAACTCGTGCGCGAAATACTTTGGTGATTTCGACTATTTTTTAACTTGGCTGCGCCTCGTTAAAAAAATCAGCTCTCGATCACCAAAGTAGCATTTCGCGCACTAGATGAAAAATAATTATAAATTGATGCAAAATTTGGGACCGAACCTGAACCGGGCATTCAGATATCCGGATAATTGGACAAATCAAGAAAACTTAAACATTTGGACATCTATCTATATAACGTAAAATTTTATTCTCTACAACTTTTATTTTATGGTTTTTTTCAATAGGAGTATCTGTTTTCACGATATGTCGTCTTGGAAAGCCGCAAAATGTAAGCTTGCACCGAACTACGAAATTTTCTTCTTTTTTAACATTCGATTTCGGCTATACTACTAAACGGAATTTGATGTTTCCAGATGTCATTCGACGCAGAATTTTGCCTTCTATATTATTGAATAGAATGACATTTTTCGACCGATGAACCATTTTGCAGCTATAAGCAAAAAAATAAAAAAAGTGCAAAAATTTGGCGGTTTTTTGGCTATCAAAAGTTAAGCTCAACTCCTGGAATGGTGCAAACTTAGATTACACGCATTTGGGACCGAATGAAGGTAATTAAATGATTTCCAGCTTGCTGGAAATTAATTCCTCAAAATATAATTATTTGATTGGCCTATAATGGCAGTTATATTTCTAGTTTCTAGCATATAACAATTGAAGTCTAACAAAATGATTATTTTTTTATTGTTTATGTAGCCTTTGACACTCTGATTTTATTTTGAAAGCATTCAATACATGAACTGAAACATAAGTTATGATCACATGATCATATTCAATGACACAAGAATGTCCTTGCTACACTGCAATATTTTCAAGTATATTGGTTCCTTGATAGAATTTTCAATTAAACATTTTTGTTTTCCACTTTGAGTTGCCTTCCATATTATTTTTAGTACCTATTTAAATCAAGAAAAATCATTAGGGGTCATCATTAAAAGGAAGTTCCTGACTAAAGTTGGATTCATTTATTGGATGAATTTCAGGGTTAATTTTTTCATCATTCAAAGAATTTCTTGTGTTGAAATCTTGTGGAATGTGAATGTTGTCATAAAACTGTTTATCTTTATGCAGGTCTGCCCATCTTATTGTGATTTTACTGTTCAATGCTTTACGAAAAGCCATACAATGAACATGTTTCAACTTTTCATATTTGATCCTGGAAAATCCCATTTTAGCTAAAACAAACTGCCAAGATTTGACCAGTTTTGCATTGTGTCCCACATGGTTTGAATCAGGTGTTATTATTATCAAGAGACCTTCACTCCTTAATAACTCATAAGCTTTTTCACAACAAACTTTTCTCTGTTCTGGAGATGGAAGGTATTCTAATAATAAACTGAATATGATGAAATCAAAAGACTTTTGTAAGAGGCCTGTAATTTTGTTACCTTCAAAAGGAGTCATGTTATTTATTACATCAACTTTCAAAAAGTCACACTCAAAAACATCTTCTGCTCCTGGAGCTATGTCAACTGCTGTAACATCAAAACAACCAAACTGTTTGAAAGGATTATAGCAGCTACCAACATCTAGTAATTTCCATTTTTCTCCATTTGGTTTCCATGAACTTTGACATGCTTCAACATTAATTTTTTCAGCAATTTCGATTTCTTTTTCCCGAAATTTCGAAATTTCCTCATTTATGTAAGTCATACAGGTATTGAGAGTCCACAAAATCCTTGAATCCTCATTGGAATTTTCCCAGAATTTTGTGGCAAGAGTCTTCATTGCAAAAGCATATTTTTCCAGATTAGTTCTGTTGATGCAGTGATTTTCCCAAGCTTCATCAGCACCCAAAATTTTAGATTCTGTTCGTAAATCTTTATGAATCTTTTTTATTAAATTTGATAAGGCTATATGCTCATTTGATGCCATTTCAACAATTTTATCACAATATCACAAATCGAATCAAAATCAAAGTAATAAATACTGTGACAGTGACATCATTATATATTATCATCACGAAAAGTTTCTCGTTTATCTGCAACAATTATTCAAGTAACAAGCATTTTTTGATATTGAAAATGATATTATTAATTTATTCAAGACAATGTTCACTAATGTTCAGAAAACAACTGAAATAAATGTGACATTCCTTTATTTCCTTTTCCCCTCTGAAATAGTGACAGTGACAGTATGGACAGTTCACTGAAGCTGCACTAAGACTAAAGTCGAAAAAACCTTAGGAAAAAACAGCCTTGGAAAAAACTGCGACTATTTCAAAACTGACAGATGTTATAATTGTGCAATGACCTTGGTGCAATGCAAGGTTGGTAGAACTGATGCTTATTTTGTAGATATAGGTAGAATAGAATAGAATAGAATAGAATAGAATAGTATTCCTCTCTGTACTAGTACTTCTGATCCATGATCCATCCAAAATTGTCTTATCATTTCGAAGATTGAAGGTATTACACAGAAAGAAAGGATTTCTACATTCTCCATATTTTTTTTAGATGTCTCTGAGCAAAGCTAAAAGACTTTTTCTTGGCTTGGGTGCAGTATCTGGTGTTGCTACTCTCTATTATTTGAACAGTCCCAAAGCTAAAGTTTATGCTTCATGGACAACAAATTATGTACCATCAACTTTTGCCACATGGGATGATAATTGGGATCAGTATGTACACAGCCTCCATATATCAATTATATTTACATATCCATCAATTATTTCATTTTTCAGTCGGTCTCCCCAGTTTACAAAACGACCAAATGGAAAACTAACAGCAAGTGATGAGAACCGCCTGAATGAAGAAGTGGAATTACTGAAGCCAAAAGCCTGCAGACATATCATACTCATCCGGCATGGACAATATAATTTGAATGGATCAACAGATGAAGAAAGGGTTTTAACAAAGTTAGGTAGTTAAAAACATCTAAATATACAACAAAGATCTATTCTTGGATCAATTTTATTCAATGTTCTTCATAAAAACCTGTTTATCACATTGACTACATATAATTTCAAATGTCATCTTTAAATTCTTGCTCTCAGGAAGAACTCAAGCTGAATATACTGGGAAGAGATTGAAAGAATTGGATCTACCTTATACTAACATGGTCAAATCAACCATGTCAAGAGCACAAGAAACTGGTTCAATTATATCAGATTTTCTGCCAAATGTAAGAACTATTTTCAATAAGCAGTACTATTTTATCAAGTTCAATGATTATTTTGGGATTACATTTTTTAGGTTCCTGTAACAAATTGTGATTTCTTGAGAGAAGGTGCTCCAATTCCTCCAGAACCTCCATTAGGTGGATGGAGACCAGAGAAACATGTAAGCTACCATGAGAGTGCACTAATAATATCATAGACAACACAGATTTTGCTTTTTGTAATTTCTGGTACCAATTTTTTGAAGAACTCCAAAGCAGATGCACATTCTGCATTTCATTCAGTGATGCCATATATACTGTAGAAATTCATTCCCCAATCCTATTATGAGTTTGGTATATGGAACATCCTAATAGGCATTGAATGACAATGATGATATTAAATCAATTCCAAGATCAATTCCCTATAAATTTCCTCAATCCCTATAAATATTAAAAGTCTGAAATTCTCATAATTCCTCTTGAATTCCCATAATTCCCTTCAAATTCCAACAATTTCCCCCAATTCTCCACAGTTCCAAGATTCTTCCTCCAGAAGAAGGTCAATTTTGGTATAACTCTTTATAATACACTCAGTTCCAAAAAAAGTGATGCACTTGATATTTGACCTATCTTCTTAAAAAGAAAACAAAAAATATTAGGCTGATTTTTTTTATTTGTTGGTAGGTAATGCATTTGTCTTTAGAAAAAAAATTGAGAGGTGAAAATTTGTTCAGAGCCTCCTTGATGATGGTGGAATAACTCGAACCATGATATATTCTTGATTTTTGACTCACCCTGTGTGTTAATTGAGTAATGGCATAGAAAGTGCTTGCACCCCATATGAAAGAGGCTTTATTTGCCAGCATTTTGTTTTTTTATTCATTGATTTATCTCTAAAATTTTCCGAATTACAGCTTTTTTTGCTGAATCCTTGCAGATTACTAACTTTCTGAATTTATCGTGAAACAATTTTTTAATTAAATAAACTGATACCAATGATTTAAAAAAATATTTTTATTAAACACAAAATTATAAATTGGGATGACTGCTTAATACCATGTATTGCCTCCTCTAGCAACTCTAAGAACTTCTAATCTACGAGGCATAATGGAAATTAAGTTGCTTATTGTTTCCATTGGTATACGATCCCATTCTTCCACTAATGCATCTGCCATTTCTGCGAGACTTTCCGGAGACCTCTCGCGAGAACGTACCTTCTCCCTAATTCATCCCACAAATGTTCCATAGGATTCATATCGGGGCTTCTCGCAGGCCATTGTAATAGGTAATACCAGTAGCTTCTAAGAAGCTCCGCACTATTGCTGCGGTGTGTGGTCGGGCATTATCCTGCATCAATTATTATTGCCCACTAACTCAGCATAAGGTAAGACATACTGCTCTAAAATGTCAATGTAAATTTTCTTTCCATTCATTGAAATCCCTCCCCACACCATAACAGACCCACCATTAAAACTTTCTGTTATTAAATTTTGATCAAACCGTTCACCAGTTCTTCTCCACACTCTTTTTCTTCCATCCACCATGTCAAGGCAAAACCTTGACTCATCCGTAAACAAGACATTCGACCATTCAGGAATATTCCACTGCCCATAGTTTTCAGCAAAATTTCTTCTAGCAGCACGATGTTCGGGCAATAATTTGGGACCTTTTGCAGGTCTCCAAGCTTTTGAATTAACTTCTTTTAGACGTCTACATACCGTCTGCTTACTTACTGCAACCACAGTAGAGTACAGAGGCAGTAGGTTCACTTCCACAGAAATTTGGCAAGCGTCCCCACTTCTGCATTGAAACTCGCGGTCGATGCGCAGTAGCTCAGTCGAGCCAGACGAATGTACAGAGAGGCTCAGCACCATGTTTACATTGTGTCCCAAAAATATCGTGAGTCGTGAATCGTGATCTTAAGAAATGAAACATTGATTCATGCATGAATCCTAAGAAAGTCCTAATCGCTCCTAATCAAATAGATATTCTGTGTTTGTAATCACAAATTGATCATATATAATATCAAATAATAATAAAGATACTGAACTTGAAAAATTAATATGGAAATAAGCATTCAACATGAATTTACCTGTTTTTCAAAACCCAATAATCCATTTGGGGTTTTCGTTATGGTTATACCTAGTTACCTATTTTCAATGATCATATCATAATTTGATTCAAATGGCCTGTTTCTGGTAATCCATTGATCCATTGTCGATTATATTGTAGGTACCTGATTTTGAATAAAAGGAATACACGATATAGAATTGCATTAGTATTGAGTGAATATTGAAGGAGTGATAAAGTTATTGCAGTTGTGAATTTCGTTCTATTGTTGTTGGAATTGTATTGGTGCAGTATTAGTTTGATCTGTGATTAGTGCAATTATTGTTTATTTCAACTATGTCATACCATTGTCATGCTCCCTGTTGCGAAAGTGTTAGTGGAGATCCTGGAATAAGTTTATTTCGATTCCCCAAAGAGGAAGAAAGGTAAGCATCTGATTTTGAAATTCCGTCATGTTTGTTTTGCTGCCTCGTTTTCTGAATAGGTAATGTCTATGGTTGATAATATATAATGATAATGACAGTAAACTAAGTGTAATAGTGTAATTGTTTAACGAGAACGGAATGATAGTCAATTCATGCAGCATTCCGTACGAGTTGTACACTATACTTTTTCTATGGCCGCAACAGATAACTGCGAAATTTTTTATTTATTTGTTTTACTGCCATCAGATTTTTCCTTAAGAATTGCTCATCTATTAGACATGAGTAAATAATAAAACCTGATTAATTGTGTATATGTAATTGGTTGAATAACTGATGATGCAATGAGACATTTTTTTGTGTTCAAGGTGTGCCAAATGGAAAGAGTACTGCAAGTTTGTTGAAGATCATCAGTACAGCAAGTTTTCTTCGGCTGAATGTTTCAGCAAACTGAGGCTATGCAGTCTACATTTTGAGGACAAACAATTTTCAAGTTTGCAGAAAAATCGGCTGAAAAATGATTCTTTTTCTACGATTACCTTGAATGGTTAGTTTCCTAGAAGTTATCTACCTATAGGTATTTTTCTAGATTATTTGGAATTTTCTCTCGTTTCTCTAGAATAAAAATATGGGTATCATTTCAATATACGTGTAGTAGGACAAATCAGATGATTTTCCCAAAAATGTCACTACGCTAAAAAAAAAACGCTAAAAAACCTAAAAGGAAAATATAACAATTTTTCAGTGAAACTCTGCCTTGAAGAAAGTTTGGAGAGGAAAAATATATATATATATATATTGAATAAATATCGAATTTTCACTTAGCTTTGGACGTTTCAGGAACGAATCTGCTCCCGTTTTTAACATAAAAATCGCAAAATTATTTTTCTTGTGAATTGTCTGGTTCGTGTGACACTTCCAAGTATCACCGAAATCCCTAATAATCTAGAAAAATGAATATACTACCTCCTCGATTAACCTACAGACAGTATTTATCTATATGTACTTTGTGAATAATATGTTGTTTTTTTATAACAGCTGATCAACCTATTCAACGTGATGATGATGAAGGTCAACATACAAGCAATGTTCACATCGAGGTACAAACTGAAATGATCGTTGAAAACTTTGTCGAAGATGAACGTGAACATCAAATAATGCAAAGTACAGCTGGCAGTTCGACAGACGAAGACGTGTTAGGATATATTATACTATAAAATTTGCAAACAGGGAATTGAAACCAATTTCAACTAACAAAATGAAGCCAAAATTGATTATTCTCAAAAATATGTAGAATTTGTACTTTTATTCAGTTTATATGGTTTGTTCCATCTATAAACATTATAATATGTTCTTTTTCGATAGTCATAATAAAGTTTTCATAGAACTGTGGTGTTTCATTAACCTCATAGATAGATAGATAGATAGATAGATAGATATTTTATTTGTCTTTTAGGTGCATTCATAAGAATACAAATAAGATACGTCACATATACATAAGTTATGAATATTACAAAAACTAGTGGCTAAGACTAGAGATTTACAGATGAAGTTAAAAATTAAAAACTAAAAAAAAAGTGTGCATACAAACATACGAGAACAATATGATGTATAATCAATGATAAAAACTGAGTAAAATGTAGTGTAAAAAGTAATTTATAAAAGATAATGCACCAGGAATAATATACCCCATGGTTATTTATTTTGTTGTGGATGTTAGGGCCGCTATATATTCTCCAGTAGTATAAAATACATTGGAGGTCAAATATGAGTGCATGTGTTTTTTGAAACTTTTGACACTCAGAGCTTTGACGTAAGTGGGTAGTATATTGTAAAGATTTACATTGAGAGAGTTTCTACTTGATTTTTGTAATCTGAATTTAGATGGTCTTATCAATTGAGAGCCTCTAGTGTTGTAAGTATGGAAATCAGCATTCTTTTCATGATTATTCTTGTTTTTATGTATTTCTAAAATAGATTGATAGATATATATGGATGGTAAAGTCATGATACTGAGTTCCAGGAAAAGTGGTCTACAGGAATCGGTAAACCCTGACCCACAGATTATCCTCACTGCTTTTTTTTGTAACAAGAAAACTTCGTTAGCTTTCACGCTATTTCCCCACAGTAATATACCATATGAGATTCGTGAATGGAAGAAAGCATAATAAGCTGATAATAGAACCTGCAAACTAATGATAGTCTTCAGTTTACGGAGTAAAAATAAGTATTTTGAAATATTTGTACACAGCTGCTCTGTGTGACCTGACCAGTTTAATCTGTCGTCCAGTGTAACACCTAACAGTTTGACGGTATCACCAAATGCTGTTGAGTTGTTCATAGAAAATAATATATGTTGTGTTTTACTTTTATTCAATTTAAGATTATTACTTTTAAACCAAGTTTCCGCTTTAGCTTGAGCCAGATTTATATTTGCTAACGAACCAATTGTATTTTCACTGGAGCTGGTGAGAGTTGTATCGTCCGCAAATGCAATACATCCATAAGGGCACATATATGAAAATAGGTCATTTACATAGATAATGAATAGGAGAGGGCCTAGTACAGAGCCTTGTGGAACCCCACATGCTATTAATTCAAAATCAGATACGTTATTTGAGTCTATTACAACACATTGTTGTCTATTTGTTAAATAGGATGAAAAAAGGGAGAGGGGTACTCCTCTAATACCATACTCCTCGAGTTTTCTGATGAGAATGGAATGG